CTGCTTCTTTATTGATAGCAGAGGAGCGTTAGAGTCTTTAAATAGCAGACGCCCAGTATACCAGAATATTGTGATAGAGTGTAAAGAGAATGTTAAGAAATTAGAAAAAACTGGGTATAATGTAAGATTCATGTGGATCCCTTCACATGTGGGAATACTGTTGAATGAGATAGCGAAGAGAGCCGCGGAAAAAACTCTTGTTGATGTTGTATATCAGTTAACCTTGAAACAAATAAAAACAAGAATCAAGATGATCCGAGAGGGTGAAGAAATAGTAAAGAGAATGGTAATGGTGGACAGTAGTAACACACTTAAGAATTATTCAATAATAAATACAAACTCGTATATATATTTGTATAAATACAAATAAATACAAAAAATAAATACTTCACCTATGGTAAAGGAAAGTCTACTTGGAAGGATTCAATTTACATGAGATTAAGATTAGGATACAAATATATCTGGCAATACGGTGTTGATGTCAGTGAAAAAGATAAGGAGTGTAAATTATGTAGTATGCCGCACGCCCACACCTTAGAACATTATGTATTAGAGTGTCAACTTATTGATAACTATAGAAATAAGGAAATAAGTAGTGTACCACATCAAATTGTTTGGATGAGTGATAATGGTATGATAGACATTATACTTAGGAGCTACAAGAATTTTGCTCCAAGAGTGTAACAATTATATGCTGTGTTTACTATATTAACCTGCAATGTTAAATGGGATTCTTGTAATGTTATTTGTCTATTTGTACTCACTGAATTTGTGCGCCCCTTGAGGGACTTGAAGTAGAGGGGATAGAAATAGCCTAAGCTACTCTATCCCTTTGAGATGTATTTCTTTCTTATCTCAATATATATACTTGAACTTAAACCTTTAAAATACTGAACAAATTGGAGGAAATTAATCCAGACCACTTCTTTAAAAGGTCACATGTAATACATACTGGGTAACAACCTCAAACCCAACAAGCAACAATAATGTAGGACAAAATAAGAAATGTTTTTTTTTATCCATATAGATCTATAATGCTAGCATTATATACTTTATGATGTTTATAATAATTATATAGGTTTATATATCCAAGAATTATAAACTCTTGGAACTGCCTATCCACCAAAGCCGTAAATGCAAAGGCATTATTGCAGTTCAAAATCCATTTAGAGAGAAAATTCCCTGGAAATGGTGGAACTTTTGACACGTTGTCGGCTTCTTGTCCCCGTCGTGGCCACTATAGATAGATGGTGACCCTCAGGTAAATTCAGTACTGTATTCTTATCGCTGACTGCAGTAAGAAATATAACTTACTGTTTCAGCCCCTAGCGATGGCCACATGCTCTGCCTTGAGGCAGCCGGAACCCGTGACGCAATTTAAATCATTGGGACTCGATACTGCCGCCAAGTATTCCTAGTCAAGCATTCCTATTCAGGGGTCCGGATTGTTAGGCACTTATCGCCTAGGGTCACAGGGAAGTTTATAGACTTTTACAGTTTTGTGACTGGTTCTTCGGGCGAGTAGACGGTGTCCGACGCCGCCATGGGAGAGAAGTGCTGAGGGTTGGTGGATCATTTAATTGAATTCATTGTGTCGACGGACAAGTAACCAGTGTATATATATAGATAATTATTAATATATGTAAATTAAGAGTATATATATAATAGCCAAATGTTAGGTCCCCCCCCCCATCTTCAAGGTCGACCTATTTAAAACCCTTCCCAGGATGCAACCTAACAACAAGCTAGCTCCTAGGTATCTAATTGCTGTTAGGTGAACAGGAGCAGTAGGTAACAGGAAACGCGTCCAACCATTTCTGTCCCACACTGGTGTGCCCTCAGGGCATGGTGGGCGGCTGGCTCCTGCTTTGCCGGAGGTCACTGGAAGAGGTTTTTGCTCATTTGGATAAGAGTTTAAAAGGGTCATGTTTTTGCCTTGACTTTATTTAACTCCCCAAACATCTGCCTGTCTGTGTATTTATTCCCCGCAAGCTGTGTTCGTTTCCGGCGACGGGCGACGTTTATATAATCGTAAGGCTTTGCGTTGTACCCTTGAGAGGAACGTCGGGGACATATGCGCCATAACTGGCGTCGTAACCCCTATAGGCCTAAATCAGCTCCAACACTGTATCTGTGATTTCCCTGTGAGATGGGAATATTAACTGAACTTATAACTAGCTCTTTATCTACACTGTGTAATGTAATCTTTCATATCGAATAGGGTAGCAGCACATTTCTGTGTATACCTAAGCTTGTTAGTAATAATAATAATAATAATAATAATAATAATAATAATAATAATAATAATAATAATAATAATAATAAAAAGCAACATAATTTACTGCGAAAAGTATACTTTACAGACAGGTAAAGTTAATTATTAATATATGTAAATTAAGAGTAAGGATCGTTAATTATAATAATAGCTAAAAGTAGTTAGTAATAAAAGGTAATAATACTACTATAATATATTTTACAATCAAGGCAAGTTTGAATGAATATTTACTAAACAATATTAAATTATTTTAAAGTTCATTGGGTACAATATATATATATATATATATATATATATATATATATATATATATATATATATATATATATATATATATATATATATATATATATATATATATATATATATATATATGTGTGTATATCACGAAAATAAACACGTGATTAAGAATGTGACAATGTCAGACCACGGAGGAAAAATGAAACAGGAAATTTCCTTAAGTACTTTCGTATATTAAATACATCTTCAGAAGGTCATTTTACAGATCGAGTGATGGGTATAAATAGGCAGGAGAGAGTGGTGAAGTAAGGTGAGGTACAATACTTGGACAACGCAGAAGAAATGATTTACTACTTCATCACCTTCATTACCATATCTATATGGTCTTGTCAAGACGCATAAGCCTAACAATCCCATGAGACCTATCATCAGTTCTGTGGGATCCATTTCTTACAAACTCTCCAAATGGCTTACCAAAATCTTGTCCCCTTTGTTAGGAACTATCTCCTCTTCTCATTTGACAAATTCTCTTGATTTAGTTAACAAATTGAATAGTGTTCCTGTCACTCCTGATGTAAAGTTAATCAGTTTTGACGTTTGTTCCTTGTTCACAAAGGTACCGGTCGATGATATTCTCGATTATCTTGCTCGTGAACTAATGAGCCATGACTTACCTCTTTCTGCTGATATTATTGTCAGTCTTGTTAAGTTGTGCATTAAAGAATGTAAATTTACCTTTAATAATGAGTATTATTTACAGACTTTTGGAATGGCAATGGGGAATCCTCTATCGCCATTGCTCTCAAACCTGTACATGGAATTCTTTGAAAAGAAATTTGTTTCAAAAATAACTCCTGGTATCATTCCTTGGTTTAGATATGTTGATGATATCTTATGTATTTGGCCTTCAGATGCAAACACAGACGAATTTGTAGCCAAACTTAATGACCAAGTCACCTCCATAAAATTTACTATGGAGACTGAAATTGATAAATGTTTGCCATTCTTAGATGTGCTTATTCATAGGGAAAACTCTTCATTAAAGTTTAGTGTTTACAGAAAACCTACGAACAATTTATCTTATGTTCATTATTTTTCAGGGCATAAATACAATGTAAAAAAGTCAATTTTTGCTTCAATGTATCTAAGAGCTCTTCGAGTTGTGAGTCCAGAATTCTTAGATGAAGAATTTAAGAATATTGATTCGATTGGTCTTAAGCTTTGTTACCCACTGAATTTTTGGAAGTTTGTCGTAACAAAGCTCGTCGTACATATTATAATAATGTATGCAGTGAAAGGACTCGCCCAAAGAATGTGTTATGTTTACCATATTTCTCTGGGTTTGAGAATATTGTCAAGGCCTTGAAACTTTTTAATATAGATGTAATGTTTAGCTACGAAAACACTGTTGGTAAGCTATTAGTAAGGAACAGCCCTCGTAGTGATAATTGCGTCATTTATAAAATACCTTGTAAGGAATGTAATAAGTTCTATGTCGGGCAAACATCTAAAGATTTAAAATGTAGAATATCGCAACATAAATACTCTGTAAGACATGGCCAATTATCTAATGCTTTGTTTGTGCATTTGTCAGAAAAAGCTCACCAAATTGATTGGGAGAGTGCGTCTTCAATAACAAATTGTAAAAGCACCTATAACAGAAACATAATTGAATCCGCTTTGATACAGATCACCAAAGAAAGTAATTTGAATATTAGCAGTGGTCTATATAACTTAGATCCATTTCTAATAGATCAGCTAAAGGGCGATTTAAGTAGAATCATTGAAAAACATTTGTCTCACTAATTTATTGTATATATTTACCTCTTTATGTTATAATTACCTATGTATTATGCTTGTATGTCTGCTATATCAGATGGGCCATTGGGCTACATCGGATGGGCCAATTGGGTGCATCTGATGGGCCAATGGGCCTTCTGCGTTGTCCAAGTATTGTACCTCACCTTACTTCACCACTCTCTCCTGCCTATTTATACCCATCACTCGATCTGTAAAATGACCTTCTGAAGATGTATTTAATATACGAAAGTACTTAAGGAAATTTCCTGTTTCATTTTTCCTTCGTGGTCTGACATTGTCATATATATACATATATATATATATATATATATATATATATATATATATATATATATATATATATATATATATATGTCTAAATCCAATTAATATGTGGGACTTAACCTTTCTGCCAGTTACCTTGAGGCTACTTTGAATTGCATGCATGCGCAAGGTTTTTTTTATAACGAATTAATTAAACTAAAACGTTGAGCTAGGTTGGACATCAAAATAGATTCATCATTTATAAATATTATTATTATATTTAATTTACAATGTTAGGTTTACGATAATGTTAAATTAATATCATAACTAAACTCTTTGGTTTATATTTAGGCGTGTTTTATATTAGTTATCCTTGTAGTCTTTTGGCAGTATTCTATACATCTACTATCCCTGTGGAACGTAGTGTTTACAAACAACTACTTGGGCCCATGGAGTGGCGCCTGGGATCTACCGGAACCCGTGACGCGATTTTACCCTTTGGTTCTCAATACCGCTGTCAGGTTCAAAGGTTCAGATTGATACGACGCCTGGCGCACTTATCTCTTGGGATCACGGGGGAAGTTGATAGATTTATTTTCGTTTTCCTGTTGATTTTTTTATCGAAGAGACGGTGCCCAACGCTGGCTTGGCTGATAGGTGCCAGGGTTAGAGGGTCTTGGTGGGCTCCTGGTTTGCCCACAGGGTATGGCTGGCTCCTGCCTGCCAGTGTGTTTGTCCCCCACAAGATGCGTGTATTTCCGCCAAAAGACGACGTGTATATAGCTGCAGCGCTTTGCGATATACTCATAAGGAAATGCTGGGACACATCCGGCATCACTTCCATTGTGGCCCAAAAAGTCCAACCACAACATCATGAAATTTACCCACATAAGAAGTAAAGTTACATGGATAAAGTTACAAAACACCCAACAAAAAAATTCAAAACGGCCAATAAAGAATGGCAAATGAAAAGCATTAAAAATGATATATTAAAGGTGTTACATTCATACCTAATATTTCCCACGTTTTATGGGCTAATTTCACGGAGAGAAATTATAATTTCAACATGTCATGTGAACTTGGGCAACAACCAAGAGATCCTGTCTGTAAAAGATTTAACCACATCTAGCATATTTCCCATGCCCAAGCCTTGAAATCTCATTTTCAAAAGAAAGAAGGCCCATTTTTTACTGGACAAATACCTCTGCAACTGGAAAAAAAGAACCATAGAATTTTGTTTTAAATATGCTCAGTGGCTTTCTCAAAGCCCAATTATTTCTTGTAATGTTGCCTCTGTCTATGAACTTGGTCCTAACATCCTAAGCAAATCCACACATTCCTAGCTTCAGTGAGTTTTTGTTCATCGAATCAGGTGAGTAAATCTGGCATGGAAAGTGTGTTCCAACAAGGTTTGCCGAATCGAGGTTTCTTGAATTGAGATTCCACTGTAATATATTAATATTTTTAAAACAATAAATTTTTGCACAAATTTCAACTCGGTGGAATCATAGATAGTTGAAAAGTACTGTACCTGTAATTGCAGATACTGTAGCTCCATGAGAATGTCTCCAAAGTCTCCTAATCATCAATTGCTCGGAGAAACCCTGACACGATATTATAGACTCGCCTGTGAATTATACAATACTTACCCTATCGGGCGTTTCACCCACCAACTCTCTCGGGGAAGTTTGGATCTTAGTTTATCTGAAGTTGATCTTGACCATTTGGAAGCATTATGTCATATCGTTCAAAACAAGATAACTCCTTTGGATATTCACATATATATTCCAGCTCTAAAAGAAGGTAAGGTTATATACTTTTCTGGGTGGCACTCCTCAGTAGCTACCATCAGTTTGCCACACCATGATGTATAGAACAACAATAAAAATGATAGGCTCCCAATGACAAACTTTGCATGTCAAGGACTAGCACCACCTTTGTTTGCCTCCTCTTTGCTGCTAGAAAGCTCTTAGGGTTCATACATCAACCCACCACTGAGCAAATTAACTTCTTTTACTCAAGAGAAAATATTTTAAAATCACCAATTGCCAAACAACTCTCTCAGCACTAGCTAATTTTCAATAAGAACCACACAAACTCAGTATTGAGTTTGAATGCCTCTGTGGTTCACTGGACCTCTGTATTTGATCCAGTGGTTCATTTTATTGTGCCCAAATCATGTTTTGTGCCTGGTGGTGCATCTTCTGCTGTTGTTGAGGCCACTTTCTCCTTGGGGATTTGCAAATTTAGAAAATTGTTTGGTAATTAGTGATTTCCAAGTGCAACATGTTTTAGTAGGAGAGTGCAAGTTTTGAAGCATTTAATTTATCAGCAGTGGTTTTATTTCTGATCCCCAACCTCGATGAGGGGGCAAGCAAAGTTGGTGCTTATTTCCAGTGTGCAGTGTTTATCACCAGTAGAAATGTAATATCACTGTTGTCCTATACATCCTGGTATGCTAAGCTGAGGGCAAGTATTGAGGTGTAACTCAGAAAGGAAAATTTAACTGCACTTAACACTGTACAGGTAATTTAACTAATTATTTTAATTCATTGTTTGTATTTTACCGTACCTAGTACAGTACAGTATTAATATAAAATCCCAAATTAAACATTTTATTTTTATCTTATTATTTTGCATCTTTTTTTTTCATCCTGTTGTAGTGTGTTAGTAAAAGTTTGTAAATAGTATGCTGTATGTACAGCAGGAAAAGTTTATCTACCTGCTACATATAACCCAGTTGTTCTCCAGGTGTCGAGGCAGTTTCAGATATTTGAAGCATGTATTTTGAAGCATTATATCTCTACCTTTATTATTAGATTGCTTCTATGTTTATACTTTTAACATTTCAATACTATCTGGACATTTAATTAACAAGTACAGAAAAGTAATAATTTGACATTAGCTTATACTTTCATGAATACAGTACTGTACTATAATCTCTTTGATTCATTATGCTGTACTTACTCTTTATACCCAGCTTGATGAGTAAACTGATCTTTATTTGCATAATGGGAAGTGCTTTGGTGTTAATTATATGTTTTAATGTTATGTAAACATACTGTAAAATGTTTTTTATATTTTTTTGTAGAATAGGTTAGCAAAGTTGCCCACTCAATAATGATTAACCACTGAGAAGGGAAAATACTGTACAGTATAAGTTTATTTCAAAACGATACTCCACAAGCAGTTCTTGAATGGTTGAAGCTTTTACTTTAACTATTGTAATAAAACACTTGAAACAAAACTGAACATCAGACCAATATCCAATGTGCAGATTATCTGCCAGAGCCTTGCCTCTACCCCATGGGCCGTGAATTTATTTTGTCATTAACTTAACACCGTAGGTGAAGCACTAGTACAAAATTATGAAATAAAGTATATTTGTGTGTTAGAAATCCAGCCACCTGCCTGAAATTATTTTAACTAGTAATTTAGTATTAAAAAAATTTTGTGTACTAGATGTATGAGCTGAAACTTCACAAAATCAGTACAATCGTATATTCGAATATATCCTGTCTCCCAATACTGTATAACAATGTGTTTTTTCCACATATCGGTTCTGAAGTTGGACTGAGGGTCATTCAGCGAATTCTACAGGGAATCAGTTTATGTCTGTCAAAGTCACTCACTCTTACAACTCTTGAACTAGACAATGTAAGACTGAAAGGGAAGAATCTCAATATATTCTGTCAGGTGAGGCATTTGATAGTTTTATATTTCAACTACTAAACTGCATAAATGCAAGAAATATTTTTTCTGCTTGCTGTTCACTAACAATGCCTGTGTGTGGTAATGTTAGAGCAAATTTTACAGCAGTCAATAGTATACAGTATTCCATCATTTGCATCTAATTCAGTATTTAATTTGTTGCCCACTTTTTTCTCTTTTTTTCTTGTATTTGTAGTTTATTAGTATACAGTGACTGATCTATTTTACATCAGTCAACATCTGTTAAGCACATTACAATACTACGTATATGGTAATCTATTCCTTACTGCTGAATGAGCCATCAGAGGCCATGTTGGGCCATGCATGAGGTGACCCAGTATTATTTTTTAGTGCATTTACCTAGCATCTCTGAACTCATCCAAAAAAATATGCATCTATTCATTGCATCAAACAACAATAGTGCAAACATGTTGAAAAGAACCTCAAGAGATGGATAAGATGATATGAAACAAGTACTGTATTAATAACCCTTACGCTTCTCTAATTGCTTGATTATTTTTCATTGTACTAATTGTTTCATAGTCTAAAATTCCACCATTTCTATGGGGATGTCATTCACTCCCTCAGGGCTCTAAGGGGTGTCTGCCATTTTTTAAAAATTAAAGGTACCCAAGGACATCATTCTTATAGCACCAACCATGGCTGATGCATGTTCATCCAGCTCGCAAACACAGTGTGAACATAGGAAGCAAGCTTCTCTCTTCTGGGGCCAAATTATTGCTGATAGGTTTTAAGGACTTCCAAGGGCTGATGTGACTTGTAGGTGTGGAGCTATCTCTGTGTGGCGGGACACTATCTGGCGGGACATTAGTTATCTGTGTGTGACAAGGAGCCACCAAAGCTTCCCCTCTCCCCAGAAAGAGACCTTTCATTACAGTCCGTGCTAGTTTATTTCTTTTAGATATATACTGTACTCTTTTATATGATAAAGATACCTGTACTGTATTACATACTATAAATCATAATCAGGCATAAATTATGGTTCTGAGCATGCTGGAACAATAATTTCATTATATAATGTTAATGAGATAATTGTATTTTGTCTCTATAAATTGCTATTTGCAAGAAAAGAATGTTAGAATTTATTTAATTGATAATGATATGTTGACATAAAGAACACAACCCCATGCTCTGCCTTGTTATAAAGTCCACAATATTGTTTCAGGGGCTTATGAAATCCAAAAATTTGAAAACATTGAGCTTAAAAAAATGTGATCTTGGAGATGCAGGAGCACAACATGTATGCCAAAATATAAAAAATGTACCCAGCATTACACATCTTTGTTTGATTGACTGCCAGATAGGAGAAAAAGGAGCTTCAGCTATTGCCAGTTTGATACAGGTATGTTATTTCATAAATATTGTATTATAGTAGCCAATATTTGAAGTTCTGACAAGCAAGATAATATAATTAAAATAAAAGAATAAAAAAAAAATCAAAATTTTGAAAAACAGAACAAATGTCAAAAAGGTTTGTTCAGTGTTTGGCAGGTAGGCTGCTCCATGTTTCTTAAAAAAAAAAAATAAAAAAAAAGTTGAAACAATTTGAAAAACAGACAAATGCCATAAAGGTTTGTTCAGTGTTTGTTGGGTAGGCTGCTCCATTATTGAGACGTAAATGAAAAATACAAAACAAATGGAACACATTTGAAACAAAGAAAGATTGTCATAATGTAGCAGCCTACCTGACAAACACTGAACGAACCTTAATGGCATTTGTCCGTTTTTCAAATTGTTTAAACTTTTTTTTTATTTTTTTTTTTTTTTTTATTTAAGAAACATGGAGCAGCCTACCTGCCAAACACCAAACGAACCTTTTTGACATTTGTTCTGTTTTTCATTTTTTTTTTTTTCTATTTAAGAAACATAGAGCAGCCTACTTGCCGAACACTGAACGAACCTTTTGCTATAAGAAAAATGAAAAAAAATATTGAACAAATTTGAAGAAAGAAAAATATCATAAAGGTTTGTTCAGTGTATATGAGGTAGGCTGCTCCATTATTTAAAACATCGAATATCATATTGATGTTTTTCGGTGGTAGAACGGATTAATTTGATTTCCATTACTGTATTGTCAATGGAGACATTCGTTTTGTATGATGTCCGTTTCACATGACGATCATGGTGCCAGAACGGATTAAATTCGTTATTCGAGGTTCCACTGTAATGTTTTTTCAGGTAAAAGTACATACATACAAAATGAGTTACAAACAGAATGTTGGATTACTAGATAGAGCTAGTATATATTAAGGCCTAAAGCCACTAATATGCGCAGCGTTTAACTCTTGTGCCACCAAGTGAACTGTTAGTGCAGTACTAAACTAACTCGATGTAATTTGTCCATGATATTTTGGTATTAACTTGTGCACAAATACTGTAGAAGTTTTATGAATTGCACTAAAAAAGAAAAGTTATGGAAAGCAACTGAAGTGGATATGGTCTTTGGATATACTGTACAGTACAGTACCTCTGTATACATAGTTTGGGTTGTGTTTGATTCCAGTTGAACTTGAATATTATTAAGTGAGCACTGTATTCTGGTTTGTTTAAATTTCTTAGCACCAAAGGATCAATCGAGATAGTGCAATGTGGCAAGATACTCTTCGATTACGACGGCCACAACTTGATGGAATGAAAGGTCTTCGCAGAATAACTCTCAACCACAATCCTCAGTTGAACGACAGTGGAGCAGTTGCTGTTGCCAGTGCCTTAACAGAAGATTTATGGATCAAAGGTAAAGTTAGCACTTGTGTGGAAATTAGTGTTTATTATACGTATACAGTATACATTAGTCTCTCAATTACAGTACTGTACAGTACCTGTATATGATTACCAATTTTCCAAACCTCTGAATTATTGGGATCAAATCTGACTTAAATTTTTTTAGAGGAAAGGTTGTGTCCTTTCCATGTATATTCCATGACAAAATATTTTAAGGGTTCTTTAGATAATTAGATAATACAAAAATATATTACTGTAAATAGGAAAACAAATAAAAATCATTTCTTAGTCAACATTTCCTAATAGAAGATATGGGTCAAGTAGGTCAATACCAGGCAACAAATGTAATCAATATATTATCATTATATATACTGTGGAAGAAATAAACATAAGGAATTTTGTGTTTTTCAATACAAAAAATTGCCCTTTTTCTTCATAGGAATGGTGACTACATTACTCGGTCATTTTGTAACCTCTAGGTTCTCCCCACTTGATCAGCTATGTAATACTGTACATTCATATAAACAGCACTATCAATTTCTAAGTAAATTATTACTGAATATATAATGTCCCCAAATTACTAAAACTAATTCTGCTACATATATGTGAAAGTATGTATCAGAAATATAAACTGCTAGAAAAAATATTTCCTTTATAATGCTGAAAACGTATGACAATACTGTAGGGGTTTTAAATGATGCATCACCTATTTGGCAATTGGACACCATGAGCGTAGCTCTTATCTTGTAACTACAGTTAGGTAATTACACACACACACATTTAAAACTCTGATCAAATTATCATGGTAACAAGGTTATTGTAAATATCCGAATTCAATTATGGGCTCATTATACCCCATGTTACATGGATATTTCATTCCGAGTAGCTAAATTTAAAACAGCAACAGCATATTATCTGTTGATTTAAATATATATTTAAATCAATAGAAGATTAAAATAGATATTCAAATCAATAGAAGATTAAAATAGATACTGTATTTAAATCAATAGAAGATTAAAATAGATATTTAAATCAATAGAAATTTCTCAACATCCAAACCTGGGAAGGTTTGGTTTTAAGATTTTTTTTTTCCAACCATGTTATTTTAACCCACTTCCCAGTTGCATGGCGTGGGGATACACCTGTCAGAAAAGGAAGATTATGATTGGAACAAAAAGGCCAAAACATACCCAGTTATATTTAATCTTTCATATTAGCTTTTAATATTCAATACCATCACTACGAATTATTTCTGTTCTTGTTTTGCAAAATATTCATAGCCGTTAAGTACACCTTATGAATTCCAAAACAAAAAACCCAGCATTGAATGTAATGAAACGGCAGTTTCTGGGTTATCCCCTGAGGCTCCCACAGAAATATTACAAATCATACATTCCTTAACAAACGGCATCTACTCTGTCTTGTTCACATTCATGCCTCATTTTCCTACACAATATACCTGACCGCCTTCTTGACATTTCTAATGGCTATAGTTACACAGTTTCTTCATCTCTGTAATTACATGAGCAGAAGTATATATAATACAGTGTATAGGCATATATAATTTTTGTTCAAGATGATCCATTGTCAGGAACATGTTATTACAAGATTTGATTTAAATTGAATGAAGTTTCACTTAAATTGGTGGAAAATTTATAAACTAGTTTGTTATACTGTATTTACAGTACAGTTTGAAAATTTTAAACCAAAATAACCACCAATATTTATAGTGTATATATTCAGTACTGTATCTTAAAATTGAATGGTTTTGAGAAATATAGCCCATCCTCCTAAGTTGATAGTACAGTACTTGTAGCCACTATTACAAAAATTGACTGTTGCAGTCAACAATGTTCACAAGTTGTACTATTAATGTGTAGAAGGTATAAAAAACTTTAACATTCCTAGGCCTAGTACTGCACATGTGTACTATGTTAGTACTTACCTTTTTTATGTTTTTTATTTTTTAGTTTTACATTCTTGTAAAGCACGCATAGTGTTTCGGGCAAGTCATTAATCCTAATGGTTTCCCTGAATACACCCGCCAAATCGTTTAACAACCAGGTACCCATTCACTGCTGGGTGAGTAGAAACTACAGTTAAGGATTGGCGCCCAGTCAATCCTCCCCGGCCAGGATCCGAACCCAGGCCAAAGTACTCGCGAAGCACCGGGCGAGTGCTTTACCACTGTGCCACGGAGACTGTTCTAAGATAGCATATGTTAGGCTTAGGATTACCTATTTATACCTTGGACAGGTTATATTAGGTTCTATAGTTTTAAATTTTCTAGAATGTCATTTGGGATAATTCAGTAATACAGAATGTGAACTTTTTGGGTATCTTAGTACATATTTGTACATTTGACCAAATAATTATTATAAGTACAGTACAGTACTCGCATTATTGGAGAAGGGCTGAAGAAGTAAGGTATGGGTTAAGATACACTCTCTTAAAACATTATTTCCCTATTTTGTTAAAAAGGCATTTGAATAATTAAACTGCATGCATATATAAAGTACAATATTTAACAACTTTTGTGATAACTTTAAAATATTCTTCAGCTCTGGATCTTCAACACTGTGGTATTGGTGCTGAAGGAGGGCAAGTGCTGAGGGATGTTCTCAATACCAATCAGACACTAGAGATTCTAGATTTAAGGCAAAATCCATTTGTCCCTAGCCAGTTGGTGAATGAAGTGAAAGAAATGCTCCAGGGACGACATGATGAGTACGGTGTGCAGGTCAGTTTCAAAACTTGTTAACTTGATTCTTAAACATATAAAATTGAACAAGGCAGGTACATTAAATCTATCTTTAATGTACTTGTATGTTACATCATAAAATAATGTTTTTTGGGGGTTTCAGTACATGTGGTTGGAGCCATCAGAAAGTTATGCAGTAAAGCAAGCAGCACCTGTTAAGACTGGTGGCAGCCCAAGCAAGTATTCAGCAACTGGAGTAATAACTAAAATTAAAAACCGCTCTACTCCTCACACTCAACTCCAAAAAACGCCAAATCCTCCTGGACAGCTAGGGATTCCATGGAGAGTTGAGCATAGGTTGTTTGAGAGAAGGTATTAATATTATAAAGCAAATCTTTGTATGTATCTTTCTTTTATATTTTGACTTGTTATATAAAAAATTGGCTATAGTAATTAGAAGTATTCCCAACCACCACCTCAATACTTTACATCCTCTTATGTTTTCCCTCCATTCCCATAAATTTTCTCCTTGCACTTCTCGACTCACAATTGGGAATGCTGAGTGGGACAGAAATAGTTGAGCATCTTTCCTATTACCTAATGCCTCTGTTCACCTAATAGTAAATAGGTACCTGGGAGTTACCAACTGTTGGGGAGTTGCAAACTAGAGAAGGTTAGTAGATCAACCTTGAGGAGACCTCGATATAAACTTAATTACATAGCCTGCTTATCCCCTAACAAAATTTCGTCAGTGCAAAATTCGGTCAGTACATTTCGGTGCAAAATTTTGGCCCCCATTTGTAAAAATGTTGCTTTTTAGCAGCAACCATAGTAATAACATTTCACATTATTTACTTTGCCTGATGTGTACCATTGCAGAGAGGGTTTAATGCCTGGATCACTGGTGGATGCCTTTCCTAAAGAACAACAGAGCCATGCTATAGCATCAGCTGCCTATCAGCAGCCTGAACCACATGATTCAGTGAGTCTGCTTACCATTAGGTATGATTAAAACTCATAAATATAAATTTGAGTAATGTAGCTAATTAAATAATAAATTTAGATATCTTAAATTCACTTTGACAAATCGGTGGATTTAAAATGTTAATTTAGTATCTTAAGTTAAATTTTGAATTTGGTTGAGGGTTTTAAATTTATAGGCTTAATGTATGTATTTTACCCATATACTATAATGAGTATTCTATTCATTTAATACTATAGTATATCACTCTCTTCCTTGGAGTTCATTCTTGAGTGTGTCTTTCCTTGTACACTTCGACAGACATGATGTGTTATACTATACTATACTTATACTGTGCTAGGGCAAAGGAAGCAAAACAAAAACAGGCATTGAATGTAATAAATGTCTTGTATCATTCTTGTTAAAAATTATATACTATATAGAAAGCAAAATTTCCTAGGGTGTCTTTTTGGAGCTAGAACTACAGTGGCACCTTGACTTATGATTGCCCCGACTTAAGATAATTTCGAGTTACGATGTAAATTTGATCGAAAAATGCGACTCGACTTACGATAGTGTCGTCGACTAACAATATTTGTTGGTACCTGTACACGTTTGGGATGACCGAGTGTGTGGTTCCTGGTCACCTAGGCCGACCTGCCTCAGTTTACTAGAGCTGCCCGCTTAGTGACGATCACGCCTATAAGAAATTCCGTTTTTGTGGTGATTTTTTGCTTTTTGAACATAAAACTGATTATTATATATCATGCCATGGGTCCCAAGAAAGTCAGTGGTAAGGTTCAACATATGAAAAGACATGTAAGAATGACTATAGAGGAAAAACAAGAGGTCATATGTAAACATGAAAATGGTACTAGTGTTGTTGAACTAGCTAGGCAGTACAATAAATCTTCAGAGGAGGAGGCGGCGGCATTAGAGGATGTCCCTTCCTCATTAATTAAGAAAATGTGTGCAGTATGGGAAGGACTGCAAAGTTTTGCTGAAAAGAATCACCCAGATAAAGCTGTAACAGGCCGTTGCATTGATGACAAATGTGATACCTCACTACAGACAAGTGTTGGAAAGAAAGGAAAAACAATTTTCAATGGAACAATTTCTAGTGAGAAAATTAAGCAGTGAGTCAGAAGCAGGTCCTAGTGGTATGCAGGCAAAACGTGCCAGAGTGTGTACCCCAGAGAAGTCCTCACTGCCTGCTGTTATAATGGAAGGGGACTCCCCTTCCAAACAGTAACACCTCTCCTCCCCCCTCCTCACCATCTTCCATATGCCATCAAGAGTCCTCCATAAAGGTAAGATAAACATATGTACAGTATTGTAGTTAGAGAAAAAAATTGTATTCAGTATAAAATGTATTTGTAAGTTAATATTTTGGAGGGTGGGGAACGGATTAATTCAATTCCCTTTATTTCTTATGGGAAAAATCGCATCGACTTACGATCCGTCTCTGGGAACGGATTACCATCGTAAATCGAGGCCCCACTGCACTGTGATTACCCCTCTGGCTTTATGTCACATTCATAGACATTTTGGAGCTGTGAGTCTGTTTAGTTTTGGAGTACTGGTGATCATGGCTTCCTGACTGATGTTTTTAAAGCAGTTTTCAAATCTGCCAGAGTTAAGTTGCCTTATAATAATACAAATCTTAATTGCATCACCATGCATAAGTCTTGAAAGTCCCAAATTGATATGCAAAAGATTTTTTCAGAAATTGCATGTACTGACATCTTAAATTAGAAAAATCAGGGTTGAATGCAATGAAATGCCTCTTTCTGGTAGAGTCCTGGTGGCTCTCTGAAGCTATCTTGCTGAGTCACATCAACCATATACAGTATATGCTATTGACCTACCTGAGACCAGAGCCAGAATCTGGCCCCCTCAGAGGCACAAAGAGAGAGCTGGGGATTATTATGATTACCCACACCAAGAAAGCATCCAGAAATAAAGTGGTTCAATACAAACTACTGCAAGGTTCATGTAAACGAGGCATCAAAACAACCAACAGACTCGGCAAATGATTACCAGTAAGCAAATCCAAAGAGCAGGCGATGAGTCACAATAACGTGGCCGAAGTATGTTGACCAATCCACACACTAGAAAATGAAGGGATGATGATGATTCGGTCCGTCCTGGACCATTCTCAAGTCGATTGTGAGAATGACAATCGACTTGAGAATGGTCCAGGACAGAGCGAAACGTCGTTGTCCCTTCATTTTCTAGTGTGTAGATTCGTCAACAAATCCAAATAGTCCACTTCAAACTGATCTCAAATCCCCTTGTGTGCAAAGCTGTAACAAGGTGGTTCCCAGGAGCTCCTGGCTTCTGGCCAGCTATAGGCCATTCTGGAGCTCGTAGATCATGAACCGATGTACCTGGTAGGTAGGAAGGGAGTAGGTCAGGGAGCCACCGAAGAGCCAGATCCTCGGTGGATCCGAGGAGCCAGATTCAAGCCGAAGGGCAGAACCAGTAGGCCTGATGCCTCACAAGAAATCCAAACCAGTCCTGGAATTGTGGGCGAATAGAAATGTGCCAGAATGCATCCTTGAGGTCCATGATCATCATCCAAGGAACTGCTTGCAACAACAGATGAAACCGAGTTAAAGTTGTCATGCAATAGATCAAACAAGGAATGAAGCTGTTCGGGCCCGAGGTCGGACAAGTCTTGTTTAAGGACGAGGAACAACCGGGATATTTACAGAATAGAGGTTAACTCGACCATTCCAAGTCCAACCACACAGCAATGACTGCACATAGCTGAGGGGAGAACTCCTGAGCCAACACCCCTGAAAATAACAATGTGGAAGGGAGTAGACCAACTCCACTGGAGACTCTGGGAAACTACCTGGTAAACCCTTGAATTGTGGGACAAGGAGCTGGAAAAACAAGCCAGATGGCCTCTCACAGCACCATCAAGGGTATGATGGTGCTGTGAGAGGCGAGGCCGTTTGTTAGCCTGATTTCTTCAGGCATGCATTTAATCCCAGTTCTTTCTCTATTTTCAAGACCTGATATCACTTATTGTATTTAATTATCTCTATAATTTTAATAATTGCTAAGTATATTTTAAATGTTATAACTTTTTGCTTACAGAAAAGAATTGAGTCTTTACAAGAGAAAATATAAGCGAGAGAGAGAAAAGAGAAAGCATGTTGAAAAAAAACTAACTCATCTGCAAGCACGGTTGAAAGATATTCATTTATTAGATGAAGAAACTGTCTCTCACATTGAAGCCTGCTTTTTAAAGTTTCAGACATTTTTAACTCATTTGCAAAACAGTGGGTAAGTAACCTTAATAATTTTTATTTATGAATGATTCTTGGTAAGGTAGTTGAACTACTTTACCAAGTTGAAATGAATTCCATCTATATATATATATATATTACATTTGCATAACATTAGTACAACTCAATAATTATAAAACATTATCTACATGTGGAGTTCAGTCATTGTTATTAAACTGCCTTTCTTTATGCAGATTTCCTTGGCAGCCAACCTTATTCCACGAATCAGAAGCAAGACAAACTGAAATTAATGACAAATTACAACTTGGTTCTAGTCCAACCTCGTCAGAATGTTTGGAAGAAACAGAGTTTAATGCATTAGGCATGAAGGTTGTAAATTCTCAACCCCCTTCAAGTATTCCTATTCCAATATTCTTCAAAAATAGAACATATGCTGAAGGTGGTTTGTGTTTTCCCCCCAAAATTGTAGAATTTGGTAATCACCTACAAACAGAGAAAATTGTGCAAGATCTAGTGTCTGCATGTTTTGCTCTGAATTTAAATGCATCAGAAAAAACAGATGATGTAGTGCCTGACAAGAATGATGAAAATTACTTAAAACTTCATAATGATATTAAAGCTGGGAGAAATATGTTACCTATATTTTCAAAAGATTCAAAAGAAGTAAGTGGGGATGAAATAGTATGTGATGTGATGATTGGTGGCAACAGTAAGGACATAAAAGCAGATGAGAAAATTTCCAATGAAGCAAATGATGCTGAGAGTAAATTATTTGATGAAGTAAAAGCACCAGAAAAGAAATTTTGTGATGAAATGGGTGACAATACTAAGAAAAAGTTACCTAAACAAGAAGAGAGATTTGAAAGAAGGGTTTCTTCTCAAGTAGAGGATTCTGGGAAAACCTCGTACTATGAAGTAGAGGAGGCTGAGGGAAATTTATCTAATGAAATAAATGGCCTTAAGACAAAGTCATCTAATAAAGTCGGGGATACTGAAAAAAGGTATCTTACTGAAGTAATGGGCACTAAGAGAAAAATTTATAATACACCCAAGGTCAGTAAGAAAAACATTCCTTTAACAATTTCAAATCAGAATAGCTTTGAAGAAAAAACAGTGAAATGGCATGAGAAATATGCTGTGAACAAATATAATGCAAGAAATACAAATAAGAGTGCAAGCGATGAACCATTGAGCTATGAGAATGAAATGGTCGTCGTTGGATGGGAAGGGGACATAAATAATGAGTGTCCTGCTAGTCAGATCAATCAAGAAATATCTCATGATGATAATATAAAAAACAATACAAAAGAAATTGAACAAATTGATTTAAAATTACAAAATGAACAGGTAAATAAAGAATTAAATAGCTTAGTAGTGGGAAGCAATGCTTTAATGCATTTAAATAGGCAGGCACCTACCAGATATAACAATACTGTGAATTCTGACCACAATGTTGAAGCTCAAGAACAAAGTCATTCATTTAAATCAAACAAAACTGTTCAAGTAAAGAAATTTATGAATCTTTCTAACACATTTCAGTTTAGAGATGGGGAAATGGGTACAGTAGGACAGGACTCTCAACATATGAAAGCTGGGTCAAACACTGAAGTCAGTGAAACAGATGATGATAAACTCAGAATGCAAACAGCATCTTTACTTTTGTTGAACAGAAGTGGGTCAGCCTCCTCAGTGAGCATCACAGAGCACCTTAGCCACTCTCATTCTCTCTGGAGTAAACAAATACACAGAAAGACAGATAAAGCACCTACAGTAGGTGTGATAAAAACTCAAAACAGTGATGATGGAATGTGTATTGAATACAAGTCAAACATTCCTCAGTTGGCTCTTTTAAAAAATGAACCCAGTCCTGTGGAGTATGGCAGTGATTTTGAAGTCAGTGATAATGAGGGCATTAGTATTTCTTCCTCATCATTAGCCAGTACATCTATTCCTGAAGATTTACTGACACCAGGAGAAGAGGAATTTTGATTCTACAAGCACCATATTAATTTTGTCAAGAACTACTACTACTATGCTGGCCATACTACCTGCCAAAAAATCCTATGAGGGTCATTACTCTTATGTCTAGTTCACAACTTTCACTAATCGCCTTTTCACTTTTAATTTGCAGTATAATTATGTACTGGTATAGGCATATCTGATGCTTTATATGATTACATAGTAATAATGTTCCATATATTAATGAAAAATCACTACATATTCCATATTACGTGGTACCTAAAACAATGTTTATAGTCAAGTCTAGTCATTTGTCAATGCAACTTTGATTTTAGTATAATTTGTTAATTGTGTGCAAGTTATTTAAATAAAGTAAGATTTAAACCAACAACTTTTTATAAATTCCAAAACAAATACATTATTACCACTTTAGTTGCCTTGGCAGGCGACCTGCCGTGCACATCAAGGTAGGCCGAGCGGAGCGCATGAATGCGCCACCACCCCACAAATGTTTATATACTTTTTTTTAGCTTTCTCACCTCAATTTTTGTGCTACGTTGTTTAATTTGGTATCAAATTGTTTACAATAGAATGATGTAAAGGGATATTTGCATATAAGACCATAAAAGTCTCCAGTTTCTATACTTTCGACGGAAACTTTATAACTTTTCATTCTTACGTGTTTCTTTCAATGCTTTTGTCATGAATTAGCTCTGTTCTTGATCAGTATTCATCTGGAAGTCAATTTGCAGTGTTTATAAAGCCGGTAACAACAAATACCCGAGATAAAATAACTGGAATGTGGAAACTTTTCGACTCTAGGGGAGGCTGCGGCTGTCACAAGAACAGCGAGCTTCTAGCGTGGGCAAGCGCCCACACGGCAGGGTCAGGATGCCACGTGGATATACAGAGATTGGGAAGAAGTTGACGCTCATTTTAAAACAAGTTCCATAGTATTTGGACAATAAATGGAATTTTTACAATTTTGTAAATTATTGACACCGTTTGCATCATATTCTGTATTTTGGTTTTATGACAGAATATGCATGATCAGGCAGCAAAAGTGTTACGCTTTTAATATACTGTAAATCTAAATAGCAATGTTTTCTTTTAATGAAATTAATTCTCTGGCTCTCAAACAGTAAGAAAAAAAGCATATAATTTTACACTTAAGCACAGTAAGAGGGGCTGGTCCCGAACCTGCACACAGAAATAACATCACATGATGACCAGAAGACATGGCAGGATGTGTAGAATACCCCCGTTGAAAAGCGGAGGTGCAACAGGTACTCTGAGAGAGAACTCTATCAACATCAGAGGCCCGAGACTGTTCAACACGCTTCCGCTACACATAAGGGGCATAACTAGCCGACCCCTCACAGTGTTCAAGAGAAAACTGGATAAGCACCTCCAAAGGATACCTGATCAACCAGGCTGTGACTCATACGTCAGGCTGCGAGCAGCCGCGTCCAACAGCCTGGTTGATCAGTCCAGCAACCAGGAGGCCTAGTCGACGACCGGGCCGCATGGACGCTAAGCCCCGGAAGCACCTCAAGGCAACCAGTATGTTTTTTTACTCCAACTTTTCACCTGCTGCTGGAAAGAATACATACATCACCCCAACCCACATCCACAAAGAAAATCTTGACAAAGGGGGTTTGTCTCATATACAGTCATGTTCAGAAGCCAATTTTGACATTGCCACCCACATGTATCCGATAGTGCATTTAAATGTACTGTACTACAGTACTGTATGTAATTTAATTTACAGTATTCATTATTAGAAATTACTAATTCCATTCTGCTTATAAAAGAAATAAGTACATAAAAAAATGTACACCTTGTTAGTATTTTTTTTTTTTTTTTACATTTCTGAGTTTAATAACATTCTATTTATGGCATAAGCTACATTTTATAATGGGAGTGCTCTATGCTGCCAATGTAGTATACCATATTATGTACACTGCAGTTTGAATCAATTACTGTGCTGTACTTTCCTAATATATTTGAATTCAGTTTATGTAATGGTCAATGAATTTTCATGTTCAGTACATTTGCTTACTAAACTGGTTCACCTGATTAGGTATGATATTAGTGCTAAGACTGAGTCCTTATGTTCAGTGAAATTTTTCTTCAATGTAAAGGTAATGTAAGGGGAGGGATAAGTTATATCAACTACAATAATATATATAGGAGCGCATACAAAAATAAAATAAAATGATACATCTTCAAATACAAGGAGAAACTGCATATAACTATTTTAACTTTAGGGATTTAAAGAAACCAGCGAGGTGCATGTATCACATTTTCTGTATTTAAAACACATAACAGGAAACAGACTGTAGAAACTAGATTCATACCTCACTCACCAGTTAATGTACAGTTCTCAATGAAAATGAGAGAAAACCACAATAAGCACACATCAGTACAGGTATGGGCACCTCACAAGCACAGCCCAACACACCACCTTCGACCAGAATTGGCTCTCCTCTCTTAGGAAGCTCCCTGTTAAGCCACATCTGTGTTGCTATCTTCATGTGTGTTGAGAGGTTCCCTACACCTGCCTTGTGGTGTCCAACATCTACAAGGCCCCTATTTGGTGTTCCACACCTGCTAGGCCTCACGTGGTGTTCAAAAGGCTGAACTAAATAAGCTTACAGTTGATGCACTGGCCACACCAGTTGAGTGATTTAATATTTATGAGCTGACAATGCTTCAATGTTTATGAGCTGATAGTGATTTAACATTTGAGATGACAATGATTCAATGTTTATGAGCTGACAGTGATTCAGTGTTTATGGGACAAAAGGGATTTAGTGTTCATGAGCTGGCCATAACAGGTACAAATGATAGTCTGCATTGAAATTTCAAGGTATCAATAATACATCACCACCTTGTCCGAGAGGTTTTTTCAACACTATTTTTTCTTCTTCACTATTTTCATGAGTGTGTCCGTTTGAAAGATGACATTACAAGTAGAGCAGAGTGGTACAGCCTTGCAGTAGACTGAGAGACAATTAGAACACACATTTCCCATTTCTACTAGTGTGCGGTGACAAAAGCAAGCAGCTCGATAGTCAACACTGTCCTGTGGCGGAGAATTTAGCTTCTTTCGTGTTGAAACATCTGCTTGGTACATTAGAATCAGACATTGCAAAAGCTCTGAAACCTGAAAGGTTAGCAGCATATTAACAGATGACCATAATAAGAAAAAACTGTATTCACATAGTATACAGTTGCTCTTGGTACTATATAGCTAACATATGGCAGATACATTACCTGACAAATAATAGATTAGAAAATTTACTTTGATGACGTAAACTTCATACTTCACAACCCATGGACATTTAATAATATTTGTTTTGTCCACCAAACAAATACTTTTAACCAGCCAAATATAAAATAGATATTACCTGTTAGGTGGATACTGTATAGCACAAATTTAAATTCATTCCTATTTCAAGTAATTCCATGAGAGATGTCCACCTCTACTGTGGGCTGATCAAGCTAGAATTGTTTACTCCACTGGGCATAAGAATAGCAGCATTTCTCTCACACAAAATCCAATACTGGATGTAATGAAATGCCTCTTAGTGGCTTCCTGTAGCTAACCATCTGTAAAGCTCCACACACACACACATCACACTACACCCTTCAAGTCATTCAAAGCTTACCAAAGACCAGAAGCCAAAACCTGTCCACTTAGGAGGGGGCACAAAGAGCAGCTGACTTTCAAACATCATGGATCTGAGGGTAGACCAGGCTGCCTAAACTTAATGAAACTAGAGAACCCGGGACAAAAGTGCCTTGAATCAAAATACTAAAGAAACTATGCCAACAAATATGTAGTTGCCTAGTGCTTCCAAAGTGGCACACAAATAATGACTGTTCAATTCAACCATGTACAACAAATGCATCTTGGTCAAACAAACCAAGAGTTAACAACCAACGGACCTCTCTAGAGGCCAGCCAGAATAAAAGATGAAGAGATCATCTACCAGGGTCAAAGGAACTAAACCCCAATTTCCAAAGGACAGTATGAAGTTCCAAAGGAAAAACCATAATGTGATCCAGAGACCAAGGTCTCAGGAGGTGAGTGAGTAGGTCAAGGTGATAAAATGGACAAGACAACTTGCACAATGTTGAACTTGTCAATGTTGAATGCCAGTGGTAAGGCAAGGGAAGCCGAATGAAAAACCCTGACTAGGCTCAGCCAGGTCTGAACCTGTGACTGAACGAACTGGGACTTCCGCCAGTTCACCAGGAAACTGAATCTGACTAACGGAAAGAATCAGATCCCTGGCTTGTAGACATGCAGATTGGCTGGTGTGGAAAAGCGAAGGAAACTGGAGTTGGGGAGAACAAGATGTGAATCCAGGGAAGGGAGGAAGACAATCTGGCACAGCAAGATACTGGGCCAAATCACACTGGCGAGGAAAGAGACTAGGAGGAATGAAAGTGTGATTAGGCCAACACTCACAAATGACATCCTCTAGAATGGGACTAGCCCAAAGGGAGAATTTACCCAAGGCAAGAAACTCAGCACCCCAGTAGAAATGAATAGCATAAAACTTTGGTACACAAAAGGAAACAGCATTACAAATATAGTGGGGTCGATCTGCAAGAAAAGTGGCAGAATTGCACCTTCATATCAACACGGTTATGAACACAATAGAGAATGTAACATTCCCAAGAAGATACCAGGTAGCAAGGAAAGAAAGGATAAACAGGGAAGGGAGCGAGGAGTAGTAGCCCCACAAATACAACAACACTGGAGCTTTGAGGAGAGATTCTGGAGGTAACCAACCAGCAAGATTTCATACTAGGTACAGTAACAACAGTGAAGACCATAAAGAGAGTGGTAGGAGTTATTTACAACCCTCCATTAACTACAGGAAGGTCATGGAGGAATGTGATAAATGCAATGAAATATACCTGAAGATGATAGAAAATGTGGCCACAGTGGCAATGAAAGCCAGAGCAAAGATCTTAATACACTGACCTTGGAAGACTTTAAAAGTCTTGATTTACCTTGGAGACTTTAACCATTTTAAATTCATCATCGTATATACAGTATTTAAAAACTCTCCTACATAAATTGTTCTGATTAAATTTTGGATTAGTTTTAATTTGAAAAAAATATATATGGATGACAGCAAATGAACTGCTGTCACTGCCAATTAAATTTGATTCTTGTGTACAGTACTAGGTTAAAGTAGCTACAATCCTTACCTCTTGTACACAATGATAACAGCCACCACTGATATCTGCACCTTGCTGAAGTAACCCACAGTCATTTCCAATTACACACACATCAATTGGTGTGCTTATTTTCTGAGCTGTGAGGTAAGTATTAATGTAATTCAGGTACTGGCTTCCTGTATCCGCTGAAAAAATATATACAAGCTCTTATCAATATATGTATTTTTATCTTGGCACTCAAATAACAAAAATAATCATTTATCATTTTCCTATACAGTTATCATCATAGACACTCCATGCAATGTGAATTAGGTTATAGGAGTTCCAACATCAATGAAATATTCAACAAAGCTTAGGAAAACACCACATTAACTAGGTTGTAGAAACAAGGTTTGTTTTTACAAGATCCTGGCTCTCTATGTGTATAAAGTTAACATGGATGAAATAGCAACACAAATCAACATAGGAAAGAAAATAAAAAGATGTGCAGAATTCACTTTTGGTTATATTTGACTACAGTACTGTACTATAATTCCACAGTGAGTATGCTCACTGATTGTATGTGCAGTATGATGAAATTCTAAGTAATGGGAACACATACAGACTGGTATGGATCATACTTTGTATTGGAAAACAGATAAAAGCTGGTTTTACTTTTTTTTATATTATTTAATGTATAACTGGAAAGAACAATTGTCTTTTCTTATTAAAGAATACTAGTAGAGTCTTTTCTTTACTAGAAGTGTAATAATACAAATTATGCAACATTTTACCCGATGGGAATAGGACAAACTGAAATGCTGCAAGGAATGGGTTAATGTGGTTATGGTTATGCATTATACACCTTGGTTGTTTAACTGAGGGGCCACTATCTAGTGTCCTCAATGAGTACAGGAAGCCAACAGCTTGTTAAAGGCCCACCATTTGTCCTGATGATTTTATCAAGCTGGATTTTGAATTGCATCATTGTTTTGACATTTATGGCTTTGGCAGATAGGCAGTTCTATGGGTATATAACCCTATGGATAAAAAAGCATCTGTTGTCTGTCCTACATTGTGGCTTGTTGAGCTTCAAACAGTTGGCTCTTGTTTGTGTTTACAATCTGACATTTTAAAGAAGTTGTCCGAGTCTCCAGTACATGCTCCAAATTGTTCAGTTCAGTGTACAGTACTGTATTTTAAAAGTTTGGATGAGATTAGCCTTGTCATGTCTGGTTTGCAGTGTTAGCTCTGTTGCCCTCAACCATTCCTGGTTTGAGAGTCAAATTGGTTCAGGAATGATTTGTGGTGTTGAACTATAATAAATATTTAGCCAAGACCATAGGGAGGGTTCAGGTAAGAATGTTGAGTGTGACAAATCTTGTGCATAAGGGTTCATATGAATAACTGAATTACAGAATGTCAAATAGGTCAAACGTATACTGTACAGGTATTTTTATGACTAACATAAAATTTGTACAAAGTTGAAAGTAGGGCGAGTCAAAGAAGGAATGCGTGATGAAATGAAAGCCTTGGTTAGAAAATAAGAGGGTGCAGATGAAGCCTCAGGGATGTATGGAGTGGTAGTTTTGATATTTATTGACATCACAAATTAAGATATGGAAGAATCTTGTTTATGCAAACAACTTTGTAAACAAGATAATCTGGTAAGATAATAGTTTGTTTATTGTGCAATATTTATAAAAAAATAACCATTCTTTAAATGGGTATTCAGGGTGCCCCCCATTTCATGTGGGGCACCCTGACTGAAGGAAAATTGGCATTTCATGTATTACAAACTTGTGCCTAGTGCTATACAAAGTATAATAGATTGGGAATGCCTTGGTTACCTGCAGATAGCTGTACACATAGGACCCAAAGAGGAAATACGAAATGGATTTGTAACAAAAGGACGTTATCTGACCTAGTTCTTTACACTTGATGGCCTAGCTCATCAAGATTGTAACTTGCTTAGCTAAATGAATTGTGGGGTTCAGTCCCTGAGCCCATTATGTGCCTCTAACCCTTTCCACTACCGCCCACAAGATGGGTATGGGGTGCATAATAAATGAACTAAACTAACTCTGACCTAGTTTCAAATTTACAAAGTAAATGACATTTAGAACTTCAATTGTGCAAAAAAAAAAACTTAACCGATGATCACTAAATAAACATTAAAAACCAATTAATGAAAACATACTTGAAATTTTAATAACCAAGATCCTTGCATGGACTTTTTGGCCTAATATATCTTCTGCTTCTTGCCGTTTTATGTATAGAAGACCTCGACCTATTGCTCCAGAGAGAAGAGATTCTGTTTGCTCTGCCTTTCCACCAAGCATCATCATCTCTCTTAGCTCTTTTTCAATGCACTCATCTACTTGACATAGAAGTTCCAGCCTGCCATCCTTCTGACGTTCGACCTAACAAAGAATACAAATAAACCAAGGCTTGTACACGTATTCTGTATCTATATACACACAAATTTTCCTTAATGATTACAGACTATACAATTTTCAATGGTCATCTTTATTTCAGTAAGAAAGTCCCTAATGGCATCTACAGTATATCCAGTCAATATGACAATGTACAGTAGTTTCATTATCATTAGTTTAAATGCATTGGTATAAATATCAAAATTTGTTATAAAGCAAAAAAAACCTGTCACCACTATGATAATAATACAGTATTCAAATTGAAAAAATCAATGATGCTTACCTTTTCACCTGTATTCAGTGGGTAGAGAAAGCGAGTTTCCAGGTGATTAGCAGCAATAACAGCAAGTGTGTTTTTCACATTAGATGCCAGGTGAAAATTGGCAAAGGAAATGCAAGCGCTCAAGTAATTATGGACAATACTTTCTTGCTCTGCTAACTGTGGGTGAACATCCACCACTATTACCAAGAGACATCCACTACCGGCCATCATTACATCCTGCAGAAAATATTGTGAAATAAATGCAAAGTACAATACTTACATCACTAAAATTAATGTTTTCGATGATAATAAACACTTAAATTACAGTACCAGTATATTCGTAAAAAATATACAGCAATAAACTATTAGATACAAACTAGGCTGTTTATTTATGGTAAATTTATGATAAAATGTAAAAAGTGGATTTGAAGAGAAATCCTTGTTAACTTTATTTCTAAATGTATACATGGTACTACACTGAATTATATCAGTGTTCTTGCTTGCCATTTCCTGTTTAGACTCCTGTTTAGACTAGACTGTTTGAGTCCTTGTGCTCCTGCTTCATGCATTCTCCTCCCCTCTCTTGTGGGTATCTTTCTCCCATCTCAATATAACAGGGTTTTGTGAGGAGGTTTTGTGAGACAGGAAGCCCGAGTGTACTCATACATATTAGGCCCATATCGAGGTCCCCCCCCCCCCAGGATGAATCCCCTGCCCAGGATGCAACCCCACAACAAGCCGACTCCTGAGTACCTACAGTACTTACTGCTAGGTAAACAGGTCATTAGGTGAAAGTAACTGCGCCCACCCATTTCTGTGCCGCCCGTGATTCAAACCCAGAATTGTCGCTTGCGAGTTGAGAACGGACCCGACTGTACTACGGGGTCCTTAATTTTTTAATGCTATAGGTTAGGCTTGGTTCTTTTTTGGGTAGCAAGTTGCAAAAAGCTACTTAGACCTGATAGCAAACTTTACATTCTTCATCGCATTCCTTTGACTTCATTCATTATGGATATCTCATCAAGACTAAGCCTATGGAAATGGGAAGCCTAGATACATATTGCTTTAGCTAAAGTTACCGCAATGAAATAATATAATCTATGGTTAGTTAAGACTAACATATAAAACATATGTTTATTAACGAATTCACGTGAAATAAACATTGTTCTGAGAGAGTTGCTCGGTCGATCGATCTGTCCGGGGTCGGAGCTCGGCTATTATAAAAGTACACGTATCTTCGCTTTAAATTTAAATATGCCCATGGTAAGGTATTTAGAATAAAGCTTATATTTCTATCTTTCTTGTGACATATAAAACTCTTACACTTATTAAAGAATCTGCGTGAAATAGGCATGGTTCCGAGATGAATGCTGCGGTTTTCGAGCTCGACGAGCGATGAAAACTGCCACTTTTATAAAATTACAAATATCTTCAGTTTTACTTAAAATATTTGTCTGGTAGAGGTTTTACATATAGATCGCGTTTTTGTCTTTCTTCTGACTAATAAATAATTTTGGTTTAATAAGTCAAGATGTTTTCAACAATATTCTTTCGGCGTTCGTCTTTTCCAACATGGGCGACCCTTTTGGAAATGCGATACTTGGGTTAACCCATCCCATAGTTGGGTCAGTTTCCATTATGGTTCGGAACACAAACATTACCCCATGCAAGTATCCAGTACGAGACATGTCACTTAGATATGAAATCTATTGCTGAAGCTTCATGACCAGAGATGAGGACCTGTAACTATAGGCATGAAGGGGGCCTACAAGGAGGCTTACACCTGGTGTTGTATCAAAGATAAAACAGTTAGTGGTTACAGGGACCTGGAAAAGATCCAGAGAATGTGAACACCTGAGAGACATTAGAGATATGTGTAGAATAATAAACCCCACATTGTTTGAGTTAGGAAAACACACTGTCAAATATTGATACTGTTCTTAAAGGATTCCCTCATTTTGCACCCGCAAGATAAGTTTTTAAGGGCTGACAGATGTTAATCTTCTTGTTTGAGAAGCTGTTCACTTGAGACAGTTAAGCAAGTCCCAGCTGTGTCTGGGTACAAGTGACAGGATGAACAACCCAGCGGGTTTTCTTCCTATTGGGGAGTGTTGTACATGCTGCTATGGCGGTGTGTCCACTCACAGGATGAGTGACGCTGCCCAATAAACTTCCCCCTCGGGGCAAAATTAAAAAAAAAAAATCCAGGCAAATGGAGGGAACCTTCGATAAGCCGCCGGCTTCCTATCCTCGGGTAAAATGTGTGTGGCTGTAACTACCGTCTCCTAGGAGTGAGGCAGGTGTCGGGGCCCAGGTGCTAGAGGCCACCTCCGTCTCCCGCCGCTGCAGGTCACTTACTACACAACCAGGCAGGGTTGCCAGCTCCAAACTGCTGAAAGTAGCGAGTTGACGGTCTAAAAGTAGCGAATTTATTTATTTATTTATTTATTTATTTATTTAATTAATTATTTATTTATTTATTTATTTATTTATTTATTTATTTATTTATACAAGACAGGTACATTAGGTTAGAGAGAATACATATCATAGTACAGTATTTACAATCTTGTAAAGCCACTAGTACGTGCAGCGTTTCGGGCAGACAAATTATAATAATTTACAATTTATTGTAATAATTTGGGCAGACAAATTGAATTTGTAATAAGAGTAGCCCAATTTTTTTTAGTGACTGATAGGGGATTAGGGAAGATAGGTTAGGTTAGGTTAGGTAGGGTTGGTTAGGTTCGGTCATATATCTACGTTAATTTTAACTCCAATAAAAAAAATTGACCTCATACATAATGAAATGGGTAGCTTTATCATTTCATAAGAAAAAAATTAGAGAAAATATATTAATTCAGGAAAACTTGGCTTATTAGGCAAATCAGGCTTTGCATAGTAGGCTGAGAAGTACGTTCTGGCTATTAGGTACGACATATATATATATATATATATATATATATATATATATATATATATATATATATATATATATATATATGTCGTACCTAGTAGCCAGAACGCACTTTTCAGCCTAATATGCATGGCTCGATTTGCCTAATAAGCCAAGTTTTCCTGAATTAATATATTTTCTCTAATTTTTTTCTTATGAAATGATGAAGCTACCCATTTCATTATGTATGAGGTTAATTTTTTTTTATTGGAGTTAAAATTAACGTAGATATATGACCGAACCTAACCAACCCAACCTAACCTAACCTAACCTATCTTTATAGGTTAGGTTAGGTTAGGTAGCCCAAAAAGGTAGGTTAGGTTAGGTTAGGTAGGTTAGGTTGTCGAAAAACAATTAATTCATGAAAACTTGGCTTATTAGGCAAATCGGGCCTTGCATAGTAGGCTGAGAAGTGAGTTCTGGCTACTAGGTACGACATATATATATATATATATATATATATATATATATATATATATATATATATATATATATATATATATATATATATATATATATATATATATATTAGTTGATTTTATACCCGCACTGGGTCAGGTGATAATACAATAGAAGTGAAAACATGGGGGGATACATAAGGGATAAATGTGAGGTGAAACATAGAGGCTGCAGAAGGCTTATTGGCCCATACGAGGCATCTCCTATCTAAACACAAAGCTTAATCCAGTGTAATTGGCCTATTATGTTGGACATTGTCTTCTGTGTTGGCATCGATATGTTCTTGTCTTGTCCTTACTTGTGTAAGGACAAGACAAGAACATATCGATGCCAACACAGAAGACAATGTCCAACATAATAGGCCAATTACACTGGATTAAGCTTTGTGTTTAGATAGGAGATGCCTCGTATGGGCCAATAAGCCTTCTGCAGCCTCTATGTTTCACCTCACATTTATCCCTTATATATATATATATATATATATATATATATATATATATATATATATATATATATATATATATATATATATATATATATATATATATATATATATATATATAACTGAAAACTCCACACCCCAGAAGTGACTCGAACCCATACTGCCAGGAGCACTATAAAACTGGTGTACAGATCTTAACCGCTTGACCATCACGACCGTACAAAAGATGATGGTAGCCGAGGCTATTTGCCCATCATCCCGACAGCGCTCTGATGGTAATCTTGGGCATGGTATTTTATCAAATCACCTCATTTTTTGGGGCCATGTGAGCAACGCAAATGCAAATGGTTAAGGTCTCCTGTGCACCAATTGCATAGTGCTCCTGGCAGTATGGGTTTGAGTCACTTCTGGGGTGTAGAGTTTTCAGTTGCATATATGCCTGGGGACCATTAAGGATTGATCACATTTGTGTTGCTCACGTGGCAACCAAAAATGCGGTGATTTGATAAAATACCATGCCCAAAAAGAAACACGGATTTCTGGCAAACATATAACCAGAGCGCCCTAGCAAACAACCCCTGGAGCACAACCATGCACGAACCGGAGCCCAACCATGCACAACCCAAAGCCCAACAACTCACACCCCTGGTGTTATGTAACCGGAGCCTGACCAGTTGTGTAACCGAAGCCCGACCAGTTGTGTAACCAGACCCCGACCAGTTGTGTAACCGCAAGCCTATCAAGTATACATGTCATCCAACTCCCACCAAGCTAAACAGCCCCAGAGCCCAACCAAACTCCATTCGTAGCTTGACCAAACAAAAATCTCCTTAGCCCTACCTAAAACCCTCCTCCTGCCCTAGAAACCAACTATGGAGCCATAGCAACCAAAAAATTGAGCTATGTACGAAAAAAGAAACCCGGCTTTCTGGCAAACATATAACCATAGAGTAAAAACCCTTGGAACACAGCAATGCACGAACCGGAGCCTGATTATGCACAACCGAAAGCCCAACAAATCACAGTACCCCCGGAGTTATATAACCGGAGCCCGAACCAGTTATGTAACCGGAGCCTGACCAGTTGTGTAACCAAAGCTCGACCAGTTGTGTAACCAGACCCCGACCAGTTGTGAAACCAGACCCCGACCAGTTGTGTAACCAGACCCCGACCAGTTGTGTAACCAGACCCCGACCAGTTGTGTAACCAGACCCCGACCAGTTGTGTAACCAGACCCCGACCAGTTGTGTAACCAGACCCCGACCAGTTGTGTAACCAGACCCCGACCAGTTGTGTAACCAGACCCCGACCAGTTGTGTAACCAGACCCCGACCAGTTGTGTAACCAGACCCCGACCAGTTGTGTAACCAGACCCCGACCAGTTGTGTAACCAGACCCCGACCAGTTGTGTAACCAGACCCCGACCAGTTGTGTAAACTGCAAGCCTAGCATGCAAGAACCAAACAACATCTGAAGCACAACCATGCACGAACTGAAGCCCGACCATGCACAACCCGAAGCCCAAGTGACACCCCCGGAGCCCGACCAGTTATGTAACCGGAGCCCGACCAGCTATGTAACCGGAGCCCGACCAGTTATTTAACCGGAGCCCGACCAGTTATTTAACCGGAGCTCGACCAGTTGTGTAACCGAAGCCCGACCAGTTGTGTAATGGGACCCCGACCAGTTGTGTAACTGTAAGCCTAGCAAGTATACATCTCATCCAACTCCCACCAAGCTAAACAGCCCCAGAGCCCAACCAAACTCCATTCTTAGCTTAACCAAACAAAAATCTCCTTAGCCCTAACTAAAACCCTCCCCTTGCCCTAGAAACCAACTATGGAGCCATAGCAAACAAAAAATTGAGCTATGTACATAAAAATAAACCCGGATTTCTAGCAAACATGTAACCCATAGAGCCCTAGCAAACAACCCCCTGGAGCACAACCATGCACGAACCGGAGCCCGACTCGAAGCCCAACAAGTCACACCCCCAGAGTTATGTAACCGGAGCCCGACCAGTTAGACCAGTTGTGTAACCGCAAGCCTAACATGACCGAATGAAACAAACAATCTCTGGATCAAAACCATGCTCGAACCGAAGCCCGACCATGCACAACCCGAAGGCCAAGTGACACCCCCGGAGCCCGACCAGTTGTGTAACCGGAGCCCGACCAGTTGTGTAATGGGACCCCGTCCAGTTGTGTAACCGCACACCTAGCAAATATACATCTGATCCAACCCCCACCAAGCTAAACAGCGCCAAAACCCAACCAAACTACATTCCTAGCTCTACCAAACAAAAATCTTAGCCTTACCTAAAAGCCTGCACTTGCCCTAGAAACCAACTATGGAGCCATAACTAACAAACAATTGAGCTTTGTACGAAAAAAGAAACCTGGGTTTCTGGCAAACATACAACCATGGAGGCCTAGCAAACAAACCTGGAGCACTAGTACACAAATAACCATTGGTGCACAACCATGCACGAACCGGAGCCCGACCATGAACAACTAGAAGCCCAACAAGTCACACACCCGGAGCCCGATCAGTGTGTAATCGCAAGCCTAGCAAGCAAATATCTCATCCAACACCCCACCAATGTGCTAAGTGGGGTGCCACAGGGGTCCATTTTGGGGCCAATACTTATTGTCATATACATCAATGACATAGATGAGAATATTACAAACCACATCAAATTTGCAGATGACACTAAGATCTATGGTAAAATGGTAAGTGAAAGTCATATTGAAACCTTACAAAGAGATCTACGTGAACTCCACAAATGATTAGATGATTTTTTGATTTCGATAAATGCAAGACCTTGCATGTGGGGCATAACAATCCACGTCACAACTACCAAATTGACAGCACTACCTTTCAACAGATAGATGAAGAAAAGGACCTTGGAGTCAGAATCCATCACGTGAGGCATAATACACAACACACCTACCTAATTATCAACATTATCTTGGAGTCAGAATCCATCAATCACTGATAGTTGTACAACAAGTGGGAGCGGCAGTAAAAAAGCAAACCAAACCCTGGGAATAATCATGCGTACCTTTACCTTCAAGGAAAAGAAAGTAGACCTTCAATTGCATAAGTTTCTGGTGCGCCCCCACATGAATTATTGCATCCAGGCATGGAGGCCTCATCTTCACAAAGACATAGCTAGCTGCTATGCAGCCATGTCTTACCAGAGCTATGTCTTACGACAAAAATCATACCAGAGCTTAGTCATCTCTCGTATCAGGAACGGTTGAGGGCCACAGGGCTAAGAACACTGCAAATCAGTCATGACAGGGCGGACTTCAAAGAAACCTTTAAAATACTAAACAATTTGGAGGATGTAAATCAGGACAATGTCTTCAAAAGGTCAGATGTTACACGAGCAAGGAGCAACGGGTTCAAACCCAACAAGCCAGAATGTTGGACAGGAAACAGGAGATGCTTTTTTTACCCATAGGGTTGTAAACCCGTGGAACGCCTATCCGCCAAAGCCGTAAACGCCGAAACTCTTCTGGGTTTTAAAATACATCTGGAAAAGATCATCAGGGCAAATGGGGGGACCTTTGACAAGCCGCCGGCTTACCCATCGAGGGTTGTAAACCCGCAACTAAGAGAACAAATGTAGACATTTACATACCACAGAGTCTATCACAGATTAAGAAAGTAATTAGAAACAGAGCAATGCAGAAGATGTACAGTGACCACAACACAGCAGTTGCAACATCAGGATCTGCGGGTTGGTACAAGAATTCAACTAACTACGAACCACTTAGTTTGATGAAAGGGAGCAGTAGAGCAACAGAAGTACACCATGCACTAGCTCTATCTATAAATCCATCAATCTTTGTAAAATATCTTGTATGTATGTACCTTACCTAAATAAACATTATTAGAAATGCTCTACAAATCAAGGGACCCAGAATGTGAAATGACCTTCCCATTATGTATCTCTCATTATTATAGCTAATTATGTCAGATACAAGTCTCATCGCACACAAGAAGATTCGTCAGCGGATTTTTTGTTATTTATATATAAAAAGAGTTCTTGAATTCTTGTAAAGCCACTAGCATGCATAGTGTTTCGGGCAGGTCCTTAATCCTAAATTTTTTCCCCGGAATACGACCCGCCAAATAGGCCAAATAACTTATTCTCTGCTGGGTGAACAGTTAAGGATTGTCGCCTGGTCAATCCTTCCCGGCCAGCAGGTCAAAGTGCTGGCGCTTTGGCGATTTCCCACACCAAATATGTCAGTTTCGTATATGTATGTATAACTGAAAACTCAGTTTTCAGTTATACATACAAATACATGCAACTGAAAACAAAAGTTTTCAGTTGCATATAGTCCTGGGGACCATTCAGGCTTCTTCGCATATGTATGTATGTATATGGATACATATATGATTGGTCAATATTAAAAGCGCAATATAGTGTTATTAAATGTTGTACTTAACAGGCATATAGTTCAATTCAAGTATGTTTATTGAGACAAGAAAGAAATACATCTCAAAGGGATAGAGTAGTAGCTTAGGCTATTTCTACCCCCTTGCATATAGTTATTACATATAGTTCAGTGATGTGGGGCCCTGACGGTTGAGTGGACCGCTCTCGGGATTCGTAGTCCTAAGGGTCCGCAATTCGATCCCCGGCGGAGGCGGAAACAAATGGACAGTTTCTTTCACCCTGATGCTCATGTTTACCCAGCAGTAAATATGTACCTGGGAGTTAGATAGCTGCTACGAGCTGCTTCCTGGGGATGTGTGTATGTGTGTAAAAATTAGGATTTTGGACCTGCCCGAAATGCTATGCGTGCTAGTTAGTGGCTTTATAGGAATGTAAAAACATCAATTCTACGTACTCTCATAAACCTAATGCACCGTCTTGTATATAAATAAATAAATAAATGTGCTAGACACAATCGATTTGCCCCTCCCCCTACAGAATGACCACAAACATAATCGGGAAACTCCTTTTACATTTATTGTGATAGTTATACTTGTATATAATATGTATTAAAGGTAAACGCCTAACATGTAATAGTAATTACATAATAGGCGTTTACTATTAATTATTAATATTAATTAATAAAAATAACGTCAGAAGCCACACACCTGCCTCCACATGTCTTTTTGTGCTACCTGGCGTTCGCAATTGTTCTCGCCTAATATTAATCAAACAAAACATTATAATAATTCATTATTTAGTTTTTTTTATTAACACGCTTAGGTATACACAGCAATGTGATGCTACCATGTTCTATATGAAGGATTGCAGTGTAGGTTAAAAACTAGCTATAAGTTCAGGGCAATCATATGTATAATGTTAGGGAGTATACGTTTCGTAAATTATAAGAATTATGGTACTAATAATTACGCGCTCACGGTTAAAAGGCAAAAATATATTAAAAGAAAATCGAAATTTAATTAATCGCAACGATCTTAAATATACTATATGCCAATAAAATAAAATACAAGATTATAAAGATGTTTTGTTTGTTTTGGGTTAGTGTTGATGTGTCGGTCAGCTGGTGGCGGCGGCTGTGGAGATGTCAGGTGCCACGACGCTCTCGTCAGCTGAGTGTGAGTCTCTCTCTCCTAGTTCACGCTTCCCCTACTCTCAGGGTATATGTATACTTGGCTTCCTTCACTCTTATAACATACATATGCGTACGGAAAAGGTTGTGCAAGTTTAAAAGATATTATTACATGTCTAAGGTTTTGGGCGGACAAAATATCTGGTTAACTTTGGCTTTAGTATGTCCAATACATAACTGTTGCTGTATTTGTTTTATGTTACACTGTTAAAGTTGTTCTATATATGAGGTAGTGCAATGGAGTTAGTGAAGTGAGTCTGTAATGGCCTGTTAGTGTGTAAATTAGTCGATTCGCTGTAGGAACGGTTAAGACTTTAGGAACGGTTAACAGTCTCCGTGGTGTAGTGGTAAGACACTCGCCTGGCGTTCCGCGAGCGCTATGTCATGGGTTCGTATCCTGGCCGGGGAGGATTTACTGGGCGCAATTCCTTAACTGTAGCCTCTGTTTAACGCAACAGTAAAATGTGTACTTGGATGAAAAAACGATTCTTCGCGGCAGGGGATCGTATTCCAGTGACTTGCCCGAAACGCTACGCGTACTAGTGGCTGTACAAGAATGTAACAACTCTTGTATATATCTCAAAAAAAAAAAAAGAGCCACAGGACAAACAACACTAGAAATCAGACATGACAGGGCTGATCTCGATGAAACTTAAAATACTGAACAAATTGGAGGATGTTGATCCAGACAATTTCTTTAAAAGGTCAGATGTAACACAAATAAAGGTAAATTTCCACCTCTCTGAGGGGGACCAGGTTATGGCTCTTGGTCCCTGGTAGGCCTAAAAGGACTCCACACGACTGATGGCACCTAATAGTTTGGTACTACAATAGATCCCTAAGGCACTATACTAAGGTTAGTGAGGTATACTAAGTATACTATACTCAGTAAGGTACTAAGGTAAGGTCCCTAATGTTCAGTACTATATCCCTATATTGGCACTAATAGAACCCATAATCACCACACCAGAAATAAATATATCTTTGATATTCCCAGCGTCAAACTTAATCTGTGTAAACACTATGTAAATAAAGGGACCTAGTCTATGAAACTCACTCCCTAACAAATTGAAAAGCTGTCCAACTTTTGCCTTATTCAAAAATAAAACCAAAAGGTACCTAATTTCATCTTTATAGTTTCCTACCTAGTGCTTTAAACTCGCATTGTATCTTGTGCTACCTAATCCCCCCCAATCCCCCAATATATACCTAAGCCATACAACTTCACCATTGTAATCATTGCTATCATCTTGTTCCTGAACCGATTATGTGCCTCTGTAATCCTTTACACCACCGCCCACGGGATGGGTATGGGGTGCATAATAAAGAATTGAATCATGGTTATTATATCGAATGCGTATATTACTGCATTATGCCTTGAAATAATCCTCAAACTATGTTACAATTTACCTGTTGATAACTGTCAAATTTTACTTTAATGTACCTACTAGTCATTTTCTTCAATTTTGCTAGAAATTACCTACTTAAAATTATCTGTTAGATTAAGGACCTACCCGAATTGCTATGCATGCTAGTGGTTTTACAAGAATGTAAAAACATTAATGCTAGCTACTCTAGGGATCTAGAGTATATAGGGATATAATGCTAGGGAACATTATCCAGAGATCTGGATAAGCACCTCCAAAGGATACCTGATCAACCAGGCTGTGACTCATACGTCAGGCTGCGAGCAGCCGCGTCCAACAGCCTGGTTGATCAGTCCAGCAACCAGGAGGCCTGGTCGACGACCGGACCGCGGGGACGCTAAGCCCCGGAAGCACCTCAAGGTAACCTCAAGGTAAGGTACTCTCATAAACCCAATGTACAGTATATCTTGAGGTTATCTTGAGATAATTTCGGGGCTTAGCGTCCCGGTCCTCGACCAGGCCTCCTTTTTGTTACACACCCCTAGGAAGCAGCCCGTAGCAGCTGTCTAACTCCCAGGTACCTATTTACTGCTAGGTAACAGGGGCATCAGGGTGAAAGAAACATTTTGTCCATTTGTCTCCGCCTCCACCGGGGATCGAATCCGGACCCTCAGGACTACGAATCCAAAGCGCTGTCCACCCAGCTGTCAGTCCTTCTTTTATATATATAAATAAATAAATAAATAAATAAATAAATAAATACAACATAATACCTTCAGGGAGCCACTGGGGCTGACACAGAAATTGGCATTTCATTACATGTAACTCTGGTTTTATATATTTTTGCCCAAATAGATTTATTGCCCAATTCGTCTAGAACTGGAGTGGTGGGATTTTCTATTACTCTAATTTATTAGTACAGTAGTTTTTTGTTTCACCATATTCACTTTCATCCATAAGTTTCCATGTGAGTCTTTGATTTGAGCTCTTCTGTCAATGTACTTCAGATTCTCTTGCATGGATATTATTGCCATCTCGCTTAACATCTGTTAGATCAATGTGAAAGAGTTTATATCCCATGATCTAGTACAGTACTTAGTTACAGTAGTAGATTTCTTAAGTCTAATATTGAAGCAGGATTCAGTGACTGCTATCACGTCTAACTTTTCAGTACACACCAATATCTGAGGACATCCCTATTCTTCACACTTCTGGAAATATTATAACTACTGACACCTTTGCTGTGCTGTCTTTCTATTGGGAATATTCTTTTTATTGTGTTTTCTTCTTCAAAATGATTTGTTACTGTTTTACCAAGCAATGTTTTTAAATTTTTGTGAGTTTTCCTTCTTTTTCTGTTATTTATACCCATACCACTATCTAATAATCCTTCAAAATCTATTACAATATTTCCTCCAATGAGTCTGCTAAAGCTGCCATTTCTGTTTTGCTCCAGCAAGTAGCAATGCCTGTTGGATGTAAAATATGCATTTATTGCTAAAACAGTTACTGTTAAATAGTGGGAGGTGTGTTCTTGGGTCTGGGATAAGGAGGGAATGTAGGAGTCCAGAGGTAGGGAGGATGGGGGGAAACCTGTTGTGGGGGGGGATGGGGGCAGCAGAGGTGGAGGTGGGCATGAATTGTAGAAGGTTGGTGGGGGAGGGGGGGGGGAGGAGCATGTGTAAGAGAGTGAGTGTATGTGGGGAAAAATAGGTATCAAACCTTACAATTCATTCTGCATTTAGGCTATCTGATGGGAACATTAACATCTGTCAGTGGTATTACTCTAGATCCTATCTGGATAGGAGTGTGTGTGTGTGTGAATTCACACACTCACTCAGCTTTTATGTCTCATGGTATGTGCTATCTTAAATATCTTGAGAATGAATCATTCTATTGACTTTCAACCTAACACTGTAGCAGTACACCCTCTTGTCACATGGCTTGATGTAAATTGTCTGCTCATCTAAGGGCCCTCTTAAAATGTTTCTAATGTACCTTTTTAATTTTCTAAATTTTGTTGGGCTATTAGTTTATTGAGGCAGCTGGTTTATTGTACATCCCCATACTCATCCTGATTACAGAGGGCACAAAATGGTCTTCATCAGACCTCAGCAGACATTATTACGTTAACAATTATATCTATCCTGCACACCCTATATTTATACTGTCAGTTAATAAGAGAGATTGCTCCACTTCAATTGCTATGTATTTACAGTTTATCATTATACATTTATTGTTTTGTAGGTCTTTTTGCTAATATATAATTGTTTTAGCTATGGAAATAAAGATGTTAAAGGGTCATAGGAAAGCTGCTGTTTGTTATTATTAGTCTTCACACTACACTACTTGCTTCTTAATTTCATGTCATTTATCTACTGGAAGCAAATTATGGATACAGTGCCTGGATTTCAGATATTTTATCCGTAGTAATAAGATGGTTTGCTATTTCATATAGCATGAGTTCAGATTTATCTCTAAATGGCTAAATTTTATTAGTACAAAATATGGTGTTAATATTATAATAGTAAAAATGATGTACTTAGCATATATAAGGTCTCTGATAGACTATCATGCACCAGCTTTAGTCCTGCAAAATGGCAAAAGTATTGACAGACTGGAAAGGCAAAATGAAGCCCCTCAGAAGTATACCTCGTTGTCCAATAACCATCAAAGTTCTCAGTATGCAAAAAAAAAAAAACTAAATATATCTTGCATGCAAGATAGAATGTTTGAAATCAATCTTATGATGAGACTAAAGCTATTGCATGATAATGGCAACATTGTATTAGTTTAACTGTTCTTCTTTCAATACTAGACTTCTTTCAATACTAGACTTCTTTCAATACTAGCATTAAATAGTTTACAATCAAATACTGTGATAACATGCTTATCTTCAAAGCCAGACTTAAATATACAGTATGTGCACACTTAATAAGGGAATAAATAAAAAATGTTGTGGATTCCCTCTCACATCTTGCCTGCAGACATGCAATGTCATGGATCATCACAAATCATCCAAATCATCACAACTCACGACCTAAATCATCTCGGATTTACAAGAAATTTGGCAGAATATTAGGGTACATGAAGTAACATGCATATGCAAAGTTTAGTCCCCAGTGATTCATGATATTCATATAGTAGTGTTGCCAATGTGAAAAAAAATACAACATTTTAGCATACAAGCTCAGCATACAAATGAATAATTTTGTTTCGAACTGAGGTAGAATCTTGATGTTGGGGTTGATTTGAAGCTAAGAAGACAGTTTTCATTATAAATAGTTTTACATTAAATATTATTTTTTGTTATTTCAAGATCACGTGATGTGACCATTGACTTCGAATATATTAAAACAGTGGATCTATCATTTTAAGAAGAAAAATTAAACTGTTAAATGAGTGTTTTTTTTTGGTATCTAAGGTTTAATTTTGGGAACAGGAGTAAACCAAAAATTATAAAGTATGTATGTGTGTATAGTACCTTGAACCAAACATGCATCGGGCAAGCTTCTCAGTCTTGGTAGAACTTCCATGGTGTGGACCAGTGGTGCAAGGGACTGGTACAGTATACCTGGACATGCATCTGTAAGTGGTGATAACTTGATAAAGTATGTGACAATGGATAAGAAGTATATACAGACACTGTGTTGCAACCCATTTATTATTAAGGGGCACAGCAGCAGTAGAAAAGTTAAGGAAGGTGCCACCATGGATAATAGAAAAACTCCCACATGTGAATAGTGACCATATGATGTTTGACAACTGTAGGAAAAATATTAAAAAGGATTCTGTTAGTGAGGAAGGCCCAAGCACATTAGTTGATGCAGAAAGTGACATGGAAGTTGACACATACAAGACTGAATCAATTATACAATCATTAAATGAAAGTCTAAGTAGTGTTGGAGTATGAGCTATCAAGAGGAAGAGAGTGAAGGAAGAGAATAAATACGGCAGAAAAAAAGCTACTAAAATTGCAAAAAGTTGTAAAAGACAAGATATTCCCAATGCCAACTGAAGAACCTCAACAAACATAGTTTCTGTTCAAAATTTAAGAACTTAATAACACTTTTAACAATTTAAGAACTATTTAAGAGAGGTACAGTATGGTGTAAGTGTGCTACCACTAGGACATAGGAACTGTTTGTATGCTCATACAGTACATTGTATAGGCATCAAGGTTATGAAGATATTTGAATCCAAAATGAGTAGTATTTTTGATGAGAATATGCATACTTTGCCTATTATACTGAAGATGTCATTAATATACATTTGACGTCTGTTTATTTTTTGTTTGTTTTAAGAATATAATGTTATTGACAAGTCTGTAGAATTTAGAAAAAATATCGTTGTTGTTGATATATACAACAATGTTATACAGTTTATGTCGAGTGGATTTTTAAGGTTTTATGAGTTCTTAAATTGATTTCAGGAGAGCTGAGCCCAGGTAAAGACATGCAAGTGGCCATTATTATCTTGTAAATCATAGAAGTCATCACTTGCTTTCCTCAGTGAAAAGGGTCAACATTTCCAGTGAGTGCTCAGTTTTGTCACTTAATGCATCTTTATGCCATTTTAAATATGCTTTATTTTAGTAGCCACACTAGAATGACTTTGGAGCTGTAGGATGACTTTTTGCACTTTCTTGGCTATCACCGTAGGGCTGGATTAACACTTTGCTGTGGCTTTAAACACACAAACTGCACATTGCATCTTTGAGGATCATGGTTGTATGTTATTTCTGACGTCAAAACACATTTGTCAATTGACTAGTACATGTGATTCTATTCTTAAACATAAGGTGGAGAATAAAAAATATGTAAACCTAATACTAATACTGTACTGTAACTAGAACATTTAAAGAATACTGTAGTACAATTTTGAAATAAACTTTTTTTTTATGTAAAATCTAATACATCTCATGAAATTTAGACATTGTATGTTGAGTAAACATTTGGTCAGTGTCATTGACAGTATATTCACCTAGTTGTGCTTCCCGTGGGGGGGGGGGAGGGGGTATTGAGCTCTGCTCTTTCGGCCTGCCTCTAGACTGTCAATCAACTGTTACTACTATTTTTTTCCCACATCACACACACACCCCAGGAAGCAACCCGTGACAGCTGACTAACTCCCAGGTACCTATTTACTGCTAGGTAATAGGGGCATCAGGTGAAAGAAACTGCTCATTGTTTCTCGCCGGCGCTGGGAAACAGTGCTTACCTATCAGTGTCTACTGGAAGTGAAATGCAATTTACATTATACAGTGATCCCTGGGTAATGCGGTTATCATCATACAGTATGTTGATTTCAGTTATCATTACCCAGTTTTTATACAATATAAATATTGTTATAATACATCTATATGGATGTAATTGAGTTAACCTAGACCCATGAATAAAATTCTATTATCATTTTAAATTGCTTACTAAAGGTGAAGTTATAATGTACCACAAGCATGACAATTATTGTCATCACAATTTGGTGCTTCCCACTGGTGTTTGAAAATATTTCTGGATGACATTAGTAGACAGAATAGCACAGGAGTTGGTGTCAAAACACTTCCTTTTGAGATCTGCCAACTTTCAGAGTATCATTTGTATTAAGGTCTAATGTTCATGGATACGCACGATATTGCAAGAGTTGGTGACTTCACGAGTTTTTGTTTTCATCAGTACGTACATTAATTTGTGTAAGTATAATGAAATGTTCATTCAGCAAAGTCTACAGAATCAATGTTCTGCGGATCTTTACAGGCACTCGACTTATGATTTGAGAGCTATCAAGACGTTCGATGTAACTAAAGCTCAGAAGTGTAAGTAAGATGGTGTATTCAAACTAACACAAATTCAAATAAAATAAGACTTTTTCAGCTTTATTAACAGTACAAGAAATATATGCCATTGTCTGCAAAAGCTTGTTAAATTTTTGTGGTGTATAATATTTTTACAATTTGATCAATTTTGTAAACAAAAAAAAATACCGTACCATTAAATTTAAGTTTTAAATCACACTGTGTGTGTGTACAGTACTGTACCCTAGGTTTCTTTTGGTCATATGTAAAACATTAACCTGGTTTGTGTTTTCACCTTCATTGATCTGCTGTTGGCTGGGTTATCTTTAGCTTTGATAACCATCTCTGGTAGAGTTTATCTTCAGTTTTGATATTTCCACAAAATATTATCACCGTAATTTGGTTGGATGTGTAATGATTCTCACATCGATTTTATATACTATATACTATATAATATATATATATATATAATATTATTTATTTATTTATTGTATAGTATATTAATATAATATATTTAATTAGTATATGGTTTGTAAATACTATACTGTAGTCATCAAGAATAGATTTTCAGTATTTTGATTTACCAGAGTTGTTATAAAACGATATTTCATTGATGGATATTAGGATCATGTCACTAATTGAGAATCACGATACAACCTGCCCTTAAGCCTTGCCTACTGTACTTGCTATGATATGTATGAACATTGAATGTCTTGCCACATCACTAATAAGTCACTATTTTATAAATGAATTGGTAAGCTGAATTTTGCTCAAAGAGATCAAAAAAATTTTTGCCTAAACTTTGGCTTAGATATACAATATTGTAGTTTGATTTGTTTATTTGGCACTTATGAAAATATTGTACCACTATTTTATTCGACTTTTGAAATACTGTGCTGTATTTATATACAGTATTTGTTTTCCTATTTTGTGATACAAAGATAAATACGTGTATTTCTTGCCACATTAATATTATGTCATACTAAGGATTAAAATAATATTTAATATTGATGTGATTGTGTACACATTGAATATTATTAAAGTAATAATACTGTACAGTAATACTACTCGGACTATTGTATTTTTAGTTACTGTTCTTTATGAAGTGTGCCTAAAATGGTCTTATGGTGTTATTGAGATAGTGATGAAATGCAACTTGCTGATAATTTCCGAGATTGGTTACAGTTCTTCTTAACATTTTGCTATCAATTTTTTCTGTGAGGAAAATAGTCAAGAACAGTCATGTATTCCTTAGTGCTCCTAGTGTTAAGAGTTATTGTGAATGTTTTGCTCGGGTAACACCAAGACTCTCTGTCTTGAGCTAAAGACAGGATGATTTGATGAAGACATAAGTACAGTTTCTTAGAGAAGAATGTCAAATTATCAAATTATCTTTAGAGGGAATGCAAATAAGAAATGAACTGTCATCATCAAGAAAAACCTTATGATTAAGATGAAGGAAAAGGCTGAGCACATTGAGAACTTGTGTGTAATTAATAAGAGCATGGGTATTATCAAAAATACTGATGAAAAGGTAAAAATATTTTAATTGTTGGAGATTCAAGCTATACCTAGCATGGACTGACTGTTTTTGCAACCAAGACAAGAAGACTAGGATGTGATGTGTTTCCCTTTAGCTGGGATAATAGTAGGCATCCATAAGTCAGAGGAGACTATGGAGTTGCACTCTGGTTGTCGGTCTGGAGTGGCCTCTCCATGGCACAAAGCCAGGGTAGGTTGATATGGAGGAGAAGCTGTCACCCAAGCAGGAGGTTTTCCCTCTCCATGGTGCCGAAAGTCTCCAATTGAAAGGGAAAAGCCAATACGGTTGGTTCCAGTGCTGTCGCAGGAACTGTCAGAACGAGGTTGAAGGCAACAATGAACTGCCCTATGGGGGCTCCAGTTTCAGAGTTAATCTCGAAGTTGGTAAAAGAAGGCACAGTGACTCCAAACCCAGAGACTGCCAAAGTTGAGGCTGGAGAAGAACCACCCCAGCAAGGGCAAGAATTACCCCAGCCTCCCGAAGCAGAGCTTGGGCCGCACGAGCCCCAGGAGGTGGACTTCAGAGTCCTGCACCTATGGGTTCCAGGCAGATCATTACAACCTCCTTTCACCCAAGACCAGCTTCATTCAAGACCAGGCAGAAGGAAGAGTATTAATTAGTAATTACAGTACAACAATTATTATTACAGGTATAATTATTATTATTATAATATAACTAATAATTAATATTTCTTCTGTACAGTAATTAGTAATTACAACAATTATAATTATTATAATAATAATAATATAACTAATTAATAATTATTACTTTTCCTTCTGCTTGGTCTTGAAGGAAGCCGGTCTTGGGTGAAAGGGGGCTGTGACGATCTCTGTCTGGAACCCATAGATTCCAGACAGATTGTTATCCCAGTCATGTGCCATTCTTCCTAGAAGAAAAGTTAAAATGAAGGAGTATCTAGGGAAATTGTATTAATGGCTAACTGAGTTTATGTTGTATGGCCAATGTGATATATTTTATTGACAATTGGGATAACTTCTACGGCAGATACAAGATGGATACATGGAGAGTAGGTACCTAGCATGAATCTCCGAAACGTGCTAATCTTTAGGAATTCTCAAAGAATTTTCAAGATGGTAGTTGAAACAGTGAGGGGCCATAAGCATAAACATTACACCCTAAATGTATATCACACAAAAGAAGGACTATTAGAAATAACCTATATGAATTAAATGCACTTGTGTGCATAAAAATAATAGCTACTATTGTGATAACAGAAACATGAATGAATGTTTTTCTGCCTGGTAATGTTGTCCAGAAATTGATTCAAAGTCTTGCAGTGTGACCAAATTGTCATTTGTATGCTGCTAACTAGATCAGTGTGGGTTACAGTATGACACTAGTTGGTCATGTGGACATTTTAATTTATTTATATATCTGGTGGATTGAGACACACACAAGTGGCTACTTGGTAGGCCATTTGGATGAAGGAGTGTTTTTCTTTTAATAGGCATTCATATAATGGGGGAATCTCCTCTATATACATTTATTGTACATACATACAATAATGTATAATATAATTTGATTTACATTATACTGTACAGTATATAGAAATGTGCTAACTAGCTTGTGAATGTGCATATATGATTGTGTTTGTTTTTGTGACTGCATGCTTATTTTTGTTTGTGTATGCCGACATTTTTTAACGTTTGTAGATTTTGCTGCTGGTATACATAACCTCCTTTTAAATACTAATAAGTACTGATTCTCTGATTTTGGCCTCTAGCAATTGTATGTCTGAGAAGGTTGTAGATACAGTAGATGTCAGTTTTACAGATGAACCTCCCTGTAAAGTTTCATATTTAAATTAACAACTTGTCTGCAATAATAGGCATGTCTGAGGGACCTGGTGTGTTGATCACTTGCCCGAAACTTCCCCGACCAACCCTTGCTACTCGAAGCAGATTATCAAGTATGACAAGTCTAAAGGTATGTTCTCTTTTATCAATATCATGTGCCTTCACTCTCAAACTCAGTTCAGTATGTTTTAAGTAGCAAAATATTCTCTAGATAACGATAATTTATATTTAGTAGGAAGTTCTGTGAGCAATGGGGTAATCTTTTGATGACATACTATATTGAGTAATAGGATAATTTTGCAATTATTCTAATTGTGTAAGCACTTTAGTTGATACAGGTGAATGACATTGGGGAAGTAATTAAATGTCTTAAGTACTGTATGCTGATAGAGCACTACTGCTGTAGTACTATGCTGCTGTGTTCTTAAGTGTCACGTCACTGCGCTGTGTAAAACTAGGCAGGAAAACTATGAACACATGAAGCTTTTTGACGAACCTGTAATAGGAATTTCTAGTCTTCTCAATTCCATTATTGTTATCTATTAGGGGTATTGCACCCCCTCTATTATAAGGGGTGAGGTATTTGGTGTAATGTAAAGTAGGCAGAGTACTTCATATAAAGGAAAGGAAATATAATTATAATACTGTACTGTATATTATAATACAAGGAGGGAATTAAAATACCAACACAATCTAATTTATATGGGTTAAATAAAAAATAAAAATTAAATACATGGGGTCAGTTATCTTGGTTATCTCGAGAGGATTTTGGGGTTTAGCGTCCCAGTCCTCGACCAGGCCTCCTTTTTGTTACACACCCCCAGGAAGCAGCCCGTAGCAGCTGTCTAACTCCCAGGTACCTATTTACTGCTAGGTAACAGGGCATCAGGGTGAAAGAAACTTTGCCTCTTTGTTTCCACTTCCACCAGGGATCGATCCCCGATGGAGGATACAGATTTTATATCTGTATCATGGGATGCTTAGGGTTTGTATATTTTAACATTGTGAAATGTGGTGGTAGAGATACCTTTCTTCTTTGTCATTAAAAATTTAGTTTACCATTAAAATCTATGAATAATTGGTTGCCATATACTGTAGAATTACTTTTGATAATTCCTAAATTCATTATTTTTTAATTTATAAAGTTTGGTATATACTGTATATGTAAAGCAAACTGAATTAGCGTAATAACTTTTTCAGGCCAGCCTCTCTGAAGATGACCTCCTCGTTCCTCAGCTCAGTGGATCGGCCTCGCAAGATTCTACAGGAAGAAGTAAAAAGCTTAAAAATATTGGGCTGCAGCACCCGCGGGCTATCTCCTTCCTCGTGCTGTGGTACATCTTCAGTGGAATTACCCTCTTCCTCAACAAGTATATTCTCACATACCAAAAAGCTGACCCCCATGTGCTTTGTACGTAGTTTCCCTCATCCTTCTCTTTGAAACTCTAGGGTAAATAGGCATTTTTGTTGTTTTGTGGATACCAGTTCCTGTGCTTGTCAGCATCTATTGTCAGTCTTTTCTATTTAAAATAGAAGTACGGTGTATCTATAAATGTATTTTTTCTAATTGTTTTCACACATTATAGTACAGTAATTGTAATCAGAAAAAATTTACCAACTACAGTATTATATAAGCACTTACATTTTTTTACATAGAATATTGTATATTTATACAACAATATATTATAAGAAAACGTTAGATGATATACAATACAGTAATGTGTTTTTCCATGATAGATATTATTTTAAAGGAAGCATGTTTCTTGGCCCTCATCATTGTGATGTACAGTTCTGTACTGCTGTTGAGTGCTGCAGTATGTTTGTCTCCCACTGACTTCTCAGTTCGTTGACTAAATCATTCTGTTTGAATTCCTTATTTATACCATCTATTCCTTCACAGTATTCACCACTTATTTATATTTTCTCATATCTTTTGTTTTAATTTTTTTATATCTATTCTATACATATTTCTTTTTGTTTCCATACACATTGCCCATGGAATATTACTTAAGTATGCTTAACAATCGTTTGTACACAATACTTTGCGAAACACACTGCCCTGTACTTTCACTGCTGCCTGAAGCACTTGCTGAACTATTATTACAGCTATCTTCAAAGAATTAGTACAGTACAGTGTCAGTAACTTGACCAAAACCCTAGCCCTAACCTGCCAGAAGGTTGATAACTCAGGAACTGGCAGTCAGAGTGATTTGTAAACAACTTGAAATTGCTTATCACAGGGTTGGATACCGATGGGTTTTGTCTTGTGTATTATGTCTATATTGTTAAATACATTAATTTTTTATTTAATAAAATGTATTTTCTCTGTGTACCCAGCAAACTGGGTGCTGTGTGAGTAGGTGACAATATTTTTATCACTAGCTATTATTTCCTTACACTGTATCTTTCAGTATTTCCTTACACTGTATCTTTCAGGTGGCGCGCAGATGATGATTACAATGTTTTGTGGGTTGGTCCAGATGCGATATCCCCTGGGCACGTATACGCAAATTAAAGGACAGCAGAGACCTGCCAACTTTCGGACAAGCATGTTCATCCTTGGCCTCCTACAGTTAGTAGCAGCACAAGTATTCATTGTTATTGACCTTTCCATAATACTGTATGTATATCTTCCACTGATTTTCAGAAGCTTTACCTTTTTATTGTTTAACCTAAAGAGCCATTGTGAAGTTCCTAGAACCCCAACAGTAGAGGAGCTCCGAACCTGTCCTTGATAATGTTTTGGGGGACCCAATACTTAATCATTTTTGGAGGGCCTGACTCACAGTCGGGAATCCTAAGTTTAATTACTGAGTTAGACAAATTGTTGGGCACGTTTCCCTTCACCTAGTACTAAATAGGTATCCGGGAGTTAAGCAACTGTTGTGGGGTTGGATCCTGGGAAAAGCCAGTAGTTGGACCTTGGGAGGACCTCAGTAAAAGCCTAAAGTATATAATATATACACAGTCTTCTTGTCCTTGACAAAATGAATAACACTTATTATTTGTTACATAGACAAATAAATCCCTTAGTCTGGTCCATATAGTTTATGAAGTGGTATATGAAAAATTCACCCCATCATTACAGATATTTAAGATTATCACACATTATTATTTCAGACTGGGAACCATAATGTTTGGACTGATAGCCATCTATTATGTTGCAGTGAGCTTCGCAGAAACTGTCAAGAGCTCTGCACCTTTATTTACTGTTTTAATTGCCTATTGTGTTATAGGTAAGTCATTTTGTTTAATATTCTCCTTTCCTAAGATATATTTGTGCTTATACAACAACTGAATTTAATATTTCTGAAGTTGTTTATATATTCAGTCTTATGTAAATATTAGATTTGCATACTGTTGTACTGATGTATGAAATATTTCTAACTTACACATTTTATACTGAGTAACTGTTAAGTACAGTAGTAGGATGAATGGCTTAATCTTGAGGTTATCTTGAGATGATTTCAGGGCTTAGCATCCCTGCGGCCCGGTCTTCGACCAGGCCTCCTTTTTGTTATACATCCTCGGGAAACAGCTGTCTAACTCCCAGTTACCTACTTACTGCTAGGTAACAGGGGCATCAGGGTGAAAGAAACTCAGCCCATTTGTTTTCGCCTCCACCGGGGATTGAACCCGGAACCTCAGGACTATGAATCCGAAGTGCTGTCCACTCAGCTGTCAGGCCCCTTGACAGGGGCCTGACAGCTGAGTGGACACTTCTTATCCCAGAGAGTAAAGCTGAGAAATAATATGGATGATGGCCAGCACCACACAGATGTAAGGGATCATGGGGAGGGTGGGGAAGAAGAGAGACCTGAGTGAAAATAGCCATGAAATAAACCAGAAGGATACAATAACCAACATGATAAATCTAGTGTGGGAAAAGATCAATAGGGTATCGATAAACAATCTTCAGAGCGAGACAAGTTCAACAAAGAAGGATATTAATATTGAGAGAAGCTCTCCCAGGCTTGCTGAGAAGAACAAGCCTCAGAAAGCTGGAAAGCAATGGATGTACCCTTTATAGAGAATCTCATTTGTATAAAATTTAAAACCTAACCCAGAAGCTGTGGCATTATTGCAGAATGTGGCAATGTAAGCAACTCTTTTTATAGGAAACGGCAAGATGCACTAGGAGTAAGAAAAAGGAAGGCGTCAAACAGGAGTAGTGGTGAGCAAAGGACAAAACTGCAGCGATAGATCCTGATGGGGATTCAAATGAAGAGGGTGAAAATAATAAAGTATTCAGTCTAGATAGGTACAACAAGAAAGAAATTGATTAATACAGTACAGTACTTACAAACGAGACCACAAAAAGTCAATCGTAGTTAAAACTATAAATATTTTAAATGTAGCAAGATACAGAAAAAAATTTCTTTCCACTTTCAATGATGTACAGTATAACATGTCACTGGAAACAGGAGACTTGACAAATTTGGAAAACTGTCAATGGAGGCCCTAAACTGTGAGCAAGTGTCCCTAAATTGAGTATTATGCAAGAAAATGGAGATGATCATGAGAAAGAGGCACATTTAGAGAGATGATACTTTGTAATGAACTATCACCATGGGTTCAGTGATGCTCAAATTTTATCTAGGAAATTTGATAAAATTTTATGACAGGGATGACAAGCAGTCTCCTCTTGTATGGTTTATTTTTTGGCGCAGTGGTAACACACTTGGCCTGCACTTCACAAGCAATTTGGGATAGGTTCATTTCCTGGCTGGGGAGGATTAACTAGGCACCAATCCTTAACTGTACACCTCTGTTCACCCAGCAATGAATGGGTACTTGATTGTTAAATGATTGGCAGTTTGTATTTTAGGAAACTAGTGGGTAAGGCTTACCATGAGCTGTGGAAAGGGAAAAAGCTCCTATCCTGCTAACAGAAGCCAGCAGTCATCTGTTATGTACCCCACGAACAGATGACATGTCAGATTTTTTGCCTTTTGTCACCTCGAGATTGACCAAGTGGCTCGTGCTAGCAGTGCCACCACCTTGCAACAGTTGGATGCTACATGTGGGGAAAATTGGTTACACTATTGATTTGCTCGTATTCTTGTTTGTTTTGTTGACTTGCTATTGTTGATATTGTTTCAATCTACCTTTCTGGTCGCTGGTTTTCTCAAGTGATTTTAGATCCTCTGCTCCTTGCACTTTGTGTGGGGACCAGGTGTTGAGCTCGAGTCTCTGATAGTCTTGTAAAGACTCACAAGGACCTGGGTGGATCTAATCAGGCAGTAAGCAGAAGGCATCCACACAGGACCCACCAAAAGAGGCATTTCATTACATTCAATACTAGTTTTTTTAGAATTTTCCTGCTTTTACAGTATAAGCATTAGTCCTATGTATGCCAGATTTTATAAAGCCCTCTTGACAAAATGTCTACAAATACAGTATAGTCTATTCTCATTTTGCTTTTTGTTTACATGATTATCATCTTCAACTTAAGATATTTTAAATGATGTAAGATTGACATCTTCTCAGGTGAACGAACGGGCACTTTTGTGTTCTTTTCGCTAATACCAGTCATGATTGGATTAGCGCTCTGCTCCAGTAATGAGCTCTCGTTCAGCATGATCGGATTCGTGTGTGCCTTGACAACTAACCTGTGTGAGTGCGTGATGAGTGTGGTGTCCAAGTCACTACTCTCCAACAAAGTCTACATCTACAGGTGAGCTTCACTACATACCTTCAAACACTTAGTACAGTATATCTAAATAAATATGAAGACATTTTAACCTTTTTAAGAATGTGGGAATCTTATTTCAAATGGGTAATTAAGTGTTTATACTGCATTTAATAATGTTTTCACTCAGAAATGTCACATACCGGTACAGTCAACGGAACAGGTAATTGTTTGTTTGTTTTATTGTCACATTCAGATACTGTACAACTAATAATAATGTTGGCATCAGTAATAAAAAGTGCCAGTATTAAATTATTTTATAATAATGCATGTAGATACTTATATATAACGTGTGTAAATAGGGTAATAAAAACAATAACAGTATGGTGGAGGAGGAATGTTGGCGAGGAGTGCGGTGTTGAAGGAGGGAGGGAGGGAGGTGGCATCTGATAGCTGCTGTGTTGCTGCCAGTCTTGTTGTTTTGACTCGCCATACCAACTTAGTAGTTCGTTATGATGAACACATATGTAGATAGATATATACAATGTGTGTATATAGTGTAATAACAGCAAAAACACTTTGATTGATCGTAGAATATAATATACATGTTACATATGAGCCCCATAATTTTGAACATAGCTATGTTCCACACATTGAACTATATAAATTCCACAAGTTACACACCTTTGAATAATATTACAGCAAAAAAAAAAAAAGAGAGAAGAAACGAGTGAGAAATGTCAAAATAATTGTGAAAAATTATATTCACGGCAATTGCCGCCCCAAGGGGTGGTGTGGTCGAGTGACCCCAAGCGCTCTATCGTTCAGTGCCCATAATTTGCTCAACTTCTCAGCTCCATTACTGCTAAAATATGTCACATACAATAACACCGATATGTGTGAACATATCAGATTTGTTCTGGCCAATACTGATTGTGGCAGGGTTGTTGCCTGCTGTAGTTGTAGCTCTGTTGTGGGGTGTAATTGTACCTGTGACTGGTAAGTGAATGGCTCTTTCAACCAGTTCCAGTAACATACAATTCCTCTGTTCCACCTTCTGAAATTGTTTTCTTCTGGGTCTAAAAAATTATTTTATGTTCCTCCAAAGCAATTTTCCTGTTTGCCACGCTTAAAAAGTGTTTTCTCTTTCATGTGAAAGTCTGGGCAGCTGAAGTCATAGCATTTCCTTTCCTCAAGTGACATTTTGCACATGTCTGGATGGAAATGCCTGCATGTTGACCCAAAACTACATTTCCCTCTCCTAAGTTCTACCCTCATCCCATTTTCTGGGATGAGGGTAACTCATTTCTACTCCCTTTTTTCTTACCAGAATATCTATGTAAATGCCCATTGCATAGAATTTGCAAATGTCTGTCTTTCTGGTATGTCTCTATATCTCACTATCAAGGTCTGTTGTGGTGTCTGTAACTATCGAGTTGTTGGGGCTGTCTGTTACACTTCTGCTGTCGGTTAGTTTTCTTAGTTTTGGAAAGATCTGATACCCAAGTTCCCCAATTCATAGAATGTGCCAGATTCTTGTCCTGTCTTCAGGTAGGTTAGTGTGGGTCTTGGAGACCTTTTGTGATGATTCTTAGAAGTTAGCTACATGCAGTACTGTACTTTGAAACTAGAAAATGTTTCCTATTTTCTCTCAAAAATTAAAATTTCTGAAAGTGATTTGCATTTACTTTTGATGATAAACATATTTTAAATTAAAATAGTGTTGTTTAGAGTTTAGTAAAATATTTTTCACTTAGTAAAACATAATTGTTTGATGGAGCAAATTATTTATTTTTATAATGTTGAAATATTTGTTGTAATGAGTTCATGGACATCATGTTTCCACAGTCCAGCAGAACTACAGTTCTATCCAAACTTAGCCGCTGTGGTGCTGCAGCTTCCCACGTGGTATTTCTTGGTAGATTTTGACAAACTACAGAATCAACTGGATCATGATCTGCTCTTTGCCATTATTCTGGATGGCATATCTTTCCATGGACAAACCATTACTGCATATGTGCTCATGTCCTATGTGAATCCTGTTACATATAGGTAAGTTTAATTTTTGACTTGTGTAGTATTGATAATAATTTTATCTTTATTTACTCCATAATTTCAGAATACAGATCATCCTACTCTTCAGATGTGAAAATCTATGTACTGTACAGTATTTGTATTTTGGGACTTTCTTGATAAATTTTAACTGAAACATGTATGCTTTACATTTAAAATTTATACTGTATATGGTTTTGACACTTTGCATTATGGTTTGCCAGTGTCAGTCATTGGCAACTCTTGACATAACAAAACTATTGCCTAATGTGTGGTATTAAACAAAATCTCAGAAATTCTTTAAATACTAGTCTTCACAGGCAAATATGAAATATATCTCATAAAGTATTGAGTGTAATGAAATGCCCCTTTTTGGCTTCACTTTGTTAGCTTCCTTCAGGGCACTGTCTGCATGCCAGGTCAACAGTGACAGTTTCGGTACATCAAGGACACATACCTTTCCTGACAATATTGTTTTCTCAATGTGGCAGGAAATTCAAGTGGATCAGAGATTAATCCACTACCATTATGAACTAGCAAAAACCTTGGGAAATATCAAAACACACAATCTTCTTCAAAAGATATTTGGAAATCCCAAACTACCAAGAGCTCTTTGAACCACTTAATCCCTACTATTACACCTTTCCCAACTGATCCTTCCCAAGGATGCAACCCCCTCAACAAGCTGACTAATTCTTGGGTACCTACTTACTGCTACGCGAACAGGTGCATTAGGTAATAGGAAACTCGCCCGGAATTCGAACCCTGAATTCTCTATTGTGAGTTGAGAATGAATCTGAATGTACTAACATTTGGCATATGTAAGTGACATTTTCAATTCTTTGGAGATTCAAACAGTACTTTGATTTTGATTTGGTTCCAAGAGACTAGAAACGGGGCTAATTCTGGTTCTAGTATCTGGACATGTTGTTTTTAACCCATAGTAAACCTTTCTAGCTGTGCACTCCAGTGTCATCCTACAACCCATTCTCGCACTTTCGTATAGTCAATATTGACTTAATAAATACGTGCATATGTGACATACTAATTTATTGTGAATATTTTAGTTTACCTTGAAAAGCTTCATAGAAAACACCGACCTTACCTAACCTTCTTGGTATGTTAAGATAAGCATCTTATTGCTTCGTAATTACAATTATTACTTAACCTATTATAGGTATAGGTTAAGTAATAATTGTAATTACGAAGCAATAAGATGCTTATCTTAACATACTAAGAAGGTTAGGTAAGGTCAGTATTTTCTATGAAGCTTTTCAAGGTGAACTAAAATATTCACAATAAATTAGTATGTCACATATGCACTTATTTAATAAGTCAATATTGACTGTAAGAAAGTGCGAGAACGGGTTGTATCCTACAGTTTAAAGATAATACATCCACTTGAAAGAAAAATAACAAAGTAAAAATAACCTCATAAATTTAACACTCAAAGATATTATTTTCTTAAGATTTTCATAAGAAACCTTCCCAAAACCAAGAAAAAATTAATACAACAATATTTACTCTTTAATAGGTTGATCTTAAGACATCTTTCATATTAATTTATTCCTGGATTATATTCCATGAGTTCCTGGGATTTTTGTGTTCATTATATGTGCTAATGCAGGCACTATAAGTTTTATGACCGCTTATGTCCAGAGACAAGCATCTCACCTTGAGCAGCTTATTTAATTTTTGCCAAAGAATATATGTGGGAAGTGACTAAGCTTGTCAACATTGTGAATCAACTGTGAGTCTGACTTCTGCACAAGAAAACTTGAAACTTTTATTTAGGAAGATTGTTGGTGCAGATACCTGAAAGTTTTGAAAGGATAAAAAGTCAGGAATTTTATCAAATGACCACGTGGGTTTAAGAGGTGGGCAAGTCGGGCAGATAGGAAACAGTGCCTGGGCAATCTGGGGAAATGGAGTAAAAGACAATTCTGAAACTAAGCAGGAGAGCCGTTTCCAAAACTGACCAAAAAGAGAAACATTTGGGGGCATGCGGTGGCTCTCCTAAAGACAACCGTATCAAAGAATACATACAGGTCATTGATGGACCAAACCTGGCACTGATCCACTTAGTTAGAAATTACTGGCTGCTGCTGCTCTCTTCTGCTCCATGTTTTGTTGTTCAATGTGGTCAAATAGGTTCAGGAGACCATTGAGGTGCCAAGCTAGAAATCCTGAATTGAGTTTAATGACATGCCTATTTCTGGTGGGCCCCCTCTGTGGCTCCCTGTTGCTTCCCTTTGCTTGTCAGCCATTTTGGTTTTGGTTCTTGGGTGGCTCATCACAGAGTATTGTTTTGGGTTGGAAAATAGGGCTGCCATCTAGTGATAGGGAGGTATAACTGGCAGTGGTAGCTAGCTTATTATTATTTAGTTGCTTTTTTCAGGTTTAACTACTGTATATTATTTGTGTCTTGTTTATATTATTTGTAACATTTGCATGCATGAAGTGGCTTGTTTTGGAGCACTCTACCTCTGATAGTTTTACCTCTTGACTTGGGTTGATCTCTTATTCCCAGACTTCCTGCATGCCTCTATTGAGTGTGCTAGATTTTGCTTCTGGTCTCCGGTAGGCTTTTATGACTCAAAAAGACCTGGTGGGAAATGATTGGTTGAAAGCTAACTAGGCGGCTTGCTTCAGGGAGCCACAAAGGAGCCCACCAGACATTTCATTACAGTCAATGCTGGATTTTTATTTCATCATGTGTCAAAACAGCTGTAAGCTACTTTGTTCTATAACTATTATAATTGCAAGTTATATATTAAATTTAGTGCCATTGTTCCATCTTTATGCGGTATGTAATTTACAATGCTCCAGGGCTTCTAGGAGAGTTTCTTTACTGTACAACTGTGAAATTGCAGAAATTTTGCATATAATGACTTTCCAAACCATAAACAATGTCTTGTAAAACTCCCTTAATTAGTTTCTACTCACATTTGATCTTACAACTTTATACTTCAATAGGCCCATGGTTAGATAGCCATAGAACCTTTTAACTTCTTTGCCTCATGTGTTAATTTGATATAAAATCTTGTGATCTGTGCATGATAGTTGTGTTAATAAAATATTAAAACTCAAATTTCAGTGTTGCCAACACAACCAAAAGAGCATGTTTGATCTGGCTGTCAGTGCTCATGTTTGGGAACCCAGTCACGCTGTGGAGTGGTATAGGGACGGCAGTGGTGATAACTGGAGTTCTGCTCTACAGTAAGGCTCGAGAAGTTGACGCACGCAGGAGAGAACAATTTTCCATTACTGAGGAAAAGATGAATACTGTTAGATAGAAGTGATAAGTGATTTTAGTAAATTATATTTTTTATATCAGCAATTTTATTTATTGTTATTCTTGAAACTCTGTGTTTTATATTTGTGAAATTAAAATCCTTAAAGGAAATTTAACATCTTCAAAGAAGAATTTGTTACTTTCACAGAAGTTTACATGAATAACCTGTGAAGTAGTGTGTGTGCAGCTTCTGCATCAGTACTGTGGGAACTATTACAGATGTCATAATTATGACTTGAGCTTATTTAAAACTTTGCAACAGTCACATACAAATGAATTTATTCGCAAATTCCGATTTAAATTTTGTATATTTTGTAAATCTGAACCCGGCAGGCAAAAAATCCATTCCATAATTTATACTTGAGAAAAATGTAGGTAATATAGACTGTGTACTGTTAGCTGGATTTGCACTAGTTACCCCTCTTTGCATCAGTAAATTATTTATCCTTAGTGTTTAGGCACCATTTATTAAACTCTCATCAACTCTCAGAAATATTTTCCATAGTTTTGTCTATATATTGCCATTTGGAAATTCAGATACGTATTAACAAATTACTGCATTAGTTTCTATAGTTCAAACCGAGTGACTTCACACTGTTAATATAATGTGCAATTAATATATTAGTTTCTATATTTTACACATTGGGAAATTTTTTTTTCTTTGTACATTAGTATGATGCCAGTGTGGTTATTGAGTGCTCTCAGGGCAGCTTAGGATTCTAGTATGAAATATCAAACAAAAATGTTATTTTTTGTCACATTCCATCTCTATAGAATAATACAAAAAAAATTAACATTACATCATCTGTAATAAACTGTTTAATTATAAATACCGCACTAGTGTCACGTGTGGTTTAAGTGCCTTACAAAAATCTTTGCCATAATAAAAATCTTTACCTAATTATTTTTTTTATTAACAAGCTTAGGTATACAGTACACAGCAATGTGCTGCTATCCTGTTTAGCAGAGATTACACAATGTAGAGAAAAAACTAGCTATAAGTTCATTTAATATTCCCACTTCACAGGATGGTTAGTCATACATGGAGTCGGGGAAGAAAATACCTGCCTCAATACAAAAACAAATCAACTCTGACTAAACAGCAACTTCACGATTTTCTGGATGAGCTACAAGCTCATCCAACATCCTCCCCACCTCACAGGACGGCTAGCTATACATGGAGTCAGAAGAGAACATGAAATGTAAGGCTGATCTATTAGCTTCTACTAGCAAAATCTGAGTACAACACAAGAATATCTTCCAATAACCCTGTGTGTTTGAAATAATTACAGAGCTCAAAGTACCTCATACCATTTGGTCTGAAGTCACTGATAACAGGCCAATCACAGTTATAGTGTTGGAGAGTATGTCCTAGCTCTTGTACACATACTTTGCCTCATGAAGACTTTGCCTTATAAAAACTTAGCACATAAAACTAAAAATGATTATTCCATTTATCCTTATGCTCTCTTATTTCCAAGTGTTATTGATGTACATGCTCCCTAACTCTGAATGACAGGTTCACTTAACATTAACATACTGAATTGTTATTTCATAGAAATTGGGGAAAAAAGTACAGTATATTGTGTACTGTTACCTTTGTTTCTATTGTCTTCACCTTGGGTATAGTGAGGGGTATCGACAGCCTCTACCTCACTGTTCACTAAAAGGATTTTCTACAAAACGTCTTTACTAAACCACTTTGCATGTGGGGTGTGCATCTTCTTTGACAACTCTCCAATTCATAAGCACTGAATAGTTTCTAACTCCAGTCTAGCCTAGAGTCTGAAATGTTTTCAATCTTAATCATCACAAGTGCTTTCCCATTCCTCCCCCCCCATTTGACACAGTACACTCATACTAATTGTATATTCCCCCCCCCCCCCACCTTCCACCCATTCCCTGAGCCCTTAAGATATTGCATTCTATTTTTGGGTGGGAAGGAAGAGGAACCCCTTGTGGCTTTCCGAAGCGTGCACTCGGAAATGGCTCCTAACTCCAGGTCACATTAGCAGCGGAGTTCTGAGAACACGGCCCGAACTTTATCCCCCCCTCACAGAGGTGCAGAGTGCAGGTAAAAGGTATACCACCCCACTCCCCTCAACAATGTAAACAAATGACTGAATATCTCGAAACAACAACAAGCTTCTTAGAGTTAGATATGATCACTTACAAAATATTAACAGGAATAAACCAAATTGACAGAGGAATTCCTGAAACTGGTAATGTCACGAACAAGAGGACATAGATTCAAGCTAAGGAAACAAAGGTGCCAAAAAACATTAGAAAGTTTTCTTTTGCAAACAGAGTGAGAAGGTGGTGGAGGCCAAAATCATCAGTAGCTTCTAAGCGTTATACGACAGAGTACTGGGAAGACGGGACACCACAAGTGTAGCTCTCATCCTGTAATTACACTTATGTAATTACTCGCCCAACAGTTCAAGGGGTCCATATAGCAATTACCCAAGTGTAATTACCTAAGTGTAGTTACAGGATGAGAGCTACGCTCGTGGTGTCCCGTCTTCCCAGCACTCTTTGTCATATAACGCTTTGAAACTACTGACGGTCTTGGCCTCCACCACCTTCTCACTTAACTTGTTCCAACCGTCTACCACTCTATTTGTGAAGGTGAATTTTCTTATATTTCTTCGGCATCTGTGTTTAGCTAGTTTAAATCTATGACCTCTTGTTCTTGAAGTGCCAGGTCTCAGGAAATCTTCCCTGTCGATTTTATCAATTCCTGTTACTATTTTGTATGTAGTAATCATATCACCTCTTTTTCTTCTGTCTTCTAGTTTTGGCATATTTAATGCTTCTAATCTCTCCTCGTAGCTCTTGCCCTTCAGTTCTGGGAGCCACTTAGTAGCATGTCTTTGCACCTTTTCCAGTTTGTTGATGTGCTTCTTAAGATATGGGCACCACACAACAGCTGCATATTCTAGCTTTGGCCTAACAAAAGTCATGAACAATTTCTTTAATATATCGCCATCCATGTATTTAAATGCAATTCTGAAGTTAGAAAGCATTGCATAGGCTCCTTGCACAATATTCTTTATGTGGTCCTCAGGTGATAGTTTTCTATCTAGAACCATTCCTAGATCTCTTTCTTTATCAGAATTCTTTAAAGATTTCTCACATAATATATAGGTTGTGTGGGGTCTATGTTCTCCTATTCCACATTCCATAACATGACATTTATTAACATTAAATTCCATTTGCCAAGTGGTGCTCCATATACTTATTTTGTCCAGGTCTTCTTGAAGGGCATGACAGTCATCTAAATTTCTTATCCTTCCTATTATCTTAGCATCATCAGCAAACATGTTCATATAATTCTGTATACCAACTGGTAGATCATTTATGTAGACAATAAACATCACTGGTGCAAGAACTGAACCCTGTGGTACTCCACTTGTGACATTTCTCCATTCCGATACATTGCCTCTGATTACTGCCCTCATTTTTCTATCAGTCAGAAAATTTATCATCCATGTTAGAAGCTTACCTGTCACCCCTCCAATATTTTCCAGTTTCCAGAACAACCTCTTATGTGGAACTCTGTCGAAAGCCTTTTTTAGGTCCAGATAGATGCAGTCAACCCAACCATCTCTTTCCTGTAATATCTCTGTGGCTCGATCATAGAAACTGAGTAAATTCGATACACAGGATCTTCCAGATCGAAAACCATACTGTCTGTCTGATATTATATCATTTCTCTCCAGGTGTTCTACCCATTTAGTTTTGATTAGTTTTTCCAATACTTTCACTATTACACTTGTCAATGATACAGGTCTATAATTGAGGGGGCTATTTAACACAAGGGGACACAGGTGGAAACTGAGTGCCCAAATGAGCCACAGAGATATTAGAAAGAATATTTTTAGTGTCAGAGTGGTTGACAAATGGAATGCATTAGAAAGTGATGTGGTGGAGGCTGACTCCATACACAGTTTCAAGTGTAGATATGATAAGAGTCCAATAGGCTCAGGAATCTGTACACCAGTTGATTGACAGTTGAGAGGCGGGACCAAAGAGCCAGAGCTCAACCCCCGCAAGCACAACTAGGTGAATATATACCTGTATATATAAAACCATCACTAGATGGCATAGATGATGCCTATCCTGTCTGATAACTTTGCCTACAAACTCTGTAACCAAATTTAAAAACACGAAAGTGAAAAGAATTTATTTAATTTTGTTTATTCCAGAGACTTATGAATGGTATCAGATGTCACAGTCTCCGTGGTGTAGTGGTAAGACACTCGCCTGGCGTTCCGCGAGCGCTATGTCATTGGTTCGTATTCTGTCCGGGGAGGATTTACTGGGCGCAATTCCTTAACTGTAGCCTCTGTTTAACGCAACAGTAAAATGTGTACTTTTGAAAAAACGATTCTTCGCGGCAAGGGATCGTATTCCAGGGACCTGCCCGAAACGCTACGCGTACTAGTGGCTGTACAAGAATGTAACAACAATTGTATATATCTCAAAAAAAAAAAAAAAAAAAAAATGTCGGTTATCTATGTACACTGTATGTACACTGTTCACTGATGGGTTCAGTGTAAATGCATGTATATACAGTATATATAATATGATTATTATTTTGTTTGTCCACAGTCAGCATCAACCTCTCAAAGAAAATTAAACCAATTATCCAACATAAGCATTATCTGGAAAGGACATAGTATTGGAGTGGCAAGAGAGTGAAAAAACTAGTCTAGCGTTGTTCCTTTTTTTTTGTCATTTAATGTAGCAAGTGTATATCCAGAGATGAGCATGTGTATATCTAATAACTGTGATCACCTTGATACAGTGGAGAGCACACATTTCTAGTTAATAATTACAGTACCTGTACAGGCTAAATATCTGTTTATCAAGGTAAACTTGTTACTAAACACACACCGAGTCTTAAGCAACTTAGCCCACAGCTGCCTACATTATGAAGTACAGGTTTATATGGCTATAGGGAATGTGAGAGCAAGAATTGAGAAATACCTGTTTACAAATAAACACAACATTATTAAATACAGTATGAAAAATGAAAAGGTGATGTATAATGATGGAAAACTGAGACTGATATACAAGATGACATAGATGGGTATACAAAGAAAGTTTGGGATAAGTGGCCGAAAGACCAGATGATTGTAAATGTATAGATAATGTATAATTTCTGAAAATCTGGAAATAAATTAAAATGGGGCAGAAAATAAATGAATTTACAGGTAATGTGAGCTCCATGCAATAGTAGAGAGTAAGAAACCATTCATGTGAAGTAGTTGACAAGAAATTTCACATCTCATCAGGGGTGTAGTGCCAATTTTATAGGTGCCGGAACTCTGGTGGACCTGCCAAAAGCCTGTTATTTTCTCTCCTGTTTCCATATATGTCACACGATTAAGTATTTCGTGTCTGTATTCACTAATTATCAAACAAAGAAAAAACATCAATCATTACATGATAATGAGCAATATTAATTACATTACATTAAGTACAGTATATATTTCTTAGTCTCTCTTTTAAACTGGTTGGGAGACATACAACATTTAACTATATTTGGGAGGTCATTCCATAATTTGGGACCCTTGATTTGCAAAACTGCATAACTAACTGTACTCACCTAGGTGTGCTTGCGGGGGTTGAGCTTTGGCTCTTTGGCCCCGCCCCTCGACTCAATCAACCAGTTTACAGATTCTGGAGTCTATTGGGCTCTTATCAAATCTACATTCGTTTTATGAGAATAGATTTAGAGAAGCAAAAGGAAATATGAAAAATACATGGAAGGGCATCTCTAACATTCTAGGGTCTAAACAACAATCACATAGCAAGCAGATAAAAGTCTCCAAAAATGGTTATACATTTGCAACAGACTTAGAAATTGCAACTGAATTCAATAGCTTCTTTTCATCAATTGGTGCAAACCTTGCCAGAAAAATCCCAGAGACCCAGACACATGTCACTACATATCTCACCGGCAGCTATCCTCTCTACTCCTTTTACCAGTCAGCCCAACAGACATTATATCCATAATTCAATTGCTTAAAGCCAAAGCTGGGAACATTAATGAAATACCATCTATGATATATAAGAGTGCTGCCCCTACTCTTGCACTAGCCATAGCTCTGCTATTCAACAAATCTCTAGTCATACAGTACTGTACTGTACTTTCCCTGATATCATTGAAAAAGCCAGAGTGACGCCGGTTCATAAAGGAGGCGAGACAGCTGACATATAATTACAGTACAGACCAGTACTAATATAAAATATAATATAAATATAAATAATAGTCAATATAAAATCTACCTAAAATACTGAAAAATATTTTAAAAAATTATTCACAAACAGCTCTATTCTACTTTGCAAAACTCAACATATTAAGCCCCTGCCAGTTTGGCTTCTGTTCCCCCCCAAAAAAGAGCCATTATTAGTCTACCTATACTTAATATAATCTACACAGCCCTTGACAAAAAAAATTTCCCAATTGGTCTGAGAAAGGCCTTTGATACTGTAAATCATAACTACAGTACCTCTTACTTAAACTTCATCACTATGGTATCCGAGGCCTTGCCGTGAACTATATTTGTTTCTATCTCAGTGACAGACACCAATATATATGTAGCCATCAATAACATAACCTCTCTCACTCTACCATTAACAGTAGGAGTGCCACAGGGCAGCATCTTTGGACCTCTCCTGTTTCTTATATGAATCATTGATTTGCCAAATGTTTCTAACATTCTTAAACTGATACCATTTGCTGATGATACTACTGTACTTTCATCTATTCTGACCCCAATCCCCCCACACACTAAATAATATTGTCAATAATGAATTAAAAAAAAAAAGTACACTCATGGATGTCAACCAACAAACTCCCACTAAACATAGAAAAGACTTACTACATTTTATTTGGTAGTAAATCATCAAATCAAATTCAACTTCAGATAGACAATGTTAACCTTAGCAATACAAATGAGGGAAAGTTCTTTTGACTATACATAGACAAGAGACTGAACTTCAGCGCCCACATCCAAAATATAGCCAAAAAAAAAAAAAGTCTGAAAAACGATCGGTATACTTTCTAAAATCAGATGCAATATTATGTGCCCCATTCTGCTCTCTTCTCATTATACTATGCGCTAATCTATCCCTATCTTATATAGGGTGTCTGTGCCTGGGGTTCAACTACTGCAAATTACCTCAAGCCTATAACTATAACAAACTGTCTTCAGACAACACACAGACAACACTCTGCTTAAGTTTCTTAACATGCTAAACATATACTCACTCCACACACTCTCATGTGCTATTTACATGTACAAAACCTTATTCCTAAATGCTACTCTTGAATTGAAAGTTTTCTTTGATAGGTGTAATAGAACCCATGAGCACCACACTAGAAATAAATACAGGATGTAAAGTATCTCTTTGATATTCCTAGAGGGGAGGGAGGGAATTACTAGGTGAAAGCGCCAAGCCATTACGACTATATAGCACTGGGAAGGTGTCTGGATAAAGATTTGGGATGGGACGGGGAGAAGTAAGGAATGGTGGCCAACCACTTGGGCGATCGGGGATTGAACGCCGACCTGCACGTAGCATATCCCGTCAAACTAAATCTGTGTGAACACTCCATGCAAATAAAAGTGCCCAGTCTTTGGAACTCATTCCCTGATGAATTAAAAAAAATGGTCCAACCTATGCCCTATTTAAAAGTGAAACCAAAAAGTATCTAATTTCATCCAGTTTCCTATCTTGTGCTTCAAACACACACTGTATCTTGTACTACCCATTTCCCCAATATTACAACTTAATCTTTACAATTGTAATCACCCCTGTCAATTTATATTGATATAAAACTTTGCTACAATGTATGTTTTCATCTTGGCTGGTAAGTTAGATAAAGGACCGTCCCGAGACCCTATGCGTGTTAGTGCTTTTGCAAGACTGATTGATGAAGATTAATTAAGTAACCCAAAAGGTGGCACGGGCATGAATAGCCCGTAAGTGGTGGCCCTTTTGAGCCATTACCAGTATCAAGAGATGATACTGGAGATCTGTGGAGGTGCGACTGCACCCTGCGTGACAGGAGATGACTCCCGTTTTTAAGCAAGACTAAAAATACAAGTCTTATATAATCTCACCAACCCATTGCACCTTTCTTGTGAATAAATTATTATTATTATTTGAAAGTGTGTATGCCTCCACCACATAACGGCCTGTCCATTCAGCATCACAATGCTGTACAAAACATGTTAGTACAAAAGTTGTGTATAAAAATAGTCAGCGATTGCAAAATTATTCGCAATATTTATTATGCTTAAGTCTTTTATGTTCAGTTCCGGTATTATGCACCCCCGATCATGTACTCTTGTCGTGAGCCACTGGCCCCTCAGGCACATGTATAATGGCCTCAACAAATGCATTCGTGTTAAACTAAGCAAGGAAAGTAGAACTGAGAGAGTTTTAGAGGATTGATGAACTAGTTGGGGAAAGCGAGAGTTGTGAACACGTGGTGGTGATGGTGATGCTGTCACGGTAGGTGTCGCCACTTGCCTCACTGCTCCACACGGCACACACACACACACACACACACACGCTAGTCCCTGCCTGGTGGTAAAACAAGGGTTGTTATAGAGGTTGTAGCGGGGAAGGTATTTGGTTGTAAAGGTTGGCGCGCTTTGTGTGGTTGGGGCGCGCGGCATTGTGGGAGCGGCCAGGTCGTCAACATGTCCGACGTGGAGTGGGGTGAGTCTCGCCGCCTCCCAATATTTCTCTTCCTCTCTTGCCTAAATCTCCTTCAGGGACCCGCCACACACACCCCTCGGGACTCTCGTTCATCCATCGCTCTTCATTTGCAGATGCGGACGATTACGAGCCGCCGACAGCAGCACCTCCGGTGCCCACAGACAAGTGGGATGGCGAGGACGAGGAGGACGAGATTAAGGTGAGCCCCAGAGTGTGTGTGTGTGTGTGTGTCCAGGGCTGGTCTGGGGGCCAGGCTGGGGCCGACGGACCTGCAGGGGCCCTCACCTGGGGGCCAGGCAACTTGGCCCACCTGCTGGGGGAGGAGCGAGGCTTTGTGGAGTTGGTAGTGGGTGGACCTAGAGCGCCAGGCCCCTGCAGGCCACTCTAGTGAAAGTTGTGAGGTTCCTCCATATGTGCGGTGTTCTCCAGCACCAGGCAAGCACACACATTGCTTTCACTTAGTAGAAATGAATAGGTGGTTGAAGATAGTCATTCTGATTCATTTGTGGCTGGAGATAGACAATTTTATGACCAATTGTAAGCTGTTAGCCAATTGAATGTACTAAAATTATAATTGGTACTGATATACAATAGAAACTAAGTATTAAGAATTCCTAGTCCATTCTGGCTTATACATTCTGTCTAGAGAAAAATAGCAGTGATACGTTTTGTGCCGTGCTCCACGAACCTTAACTATCCTAGCCAAGCCTTGCCGTACCCAGGCTCTTCTTAGTGTCTGAGCAGCAAAATTATGAAAACCGTTTTGTTGGGTATATAGTTCGATAGCCTATTATTTCTACCTTAGAAACTTATGTGCACTATCGTAGACAGGATGTAATCAATGGTTACAAAACATGAGTGTTTTGACTTCTTAAAATAAAAATGTGTGTGAAATATGTGCCAAATGTTTGCAAAAGATGTGTGCAAAATACTGGATTATGAAATGACTATTCACATTATTTTTTGTAATAGTTCAGCTTGCAGCGTAATTTGGATATTGTATGCCATTAACCCAGGCAGTCGAGGGGTTTTATCAGACAAGATGTTCTAAAAAGATAGAAGTAGGCTTTAATTGACTTCTATAATTGATGATGCTAGTGGCACTAAGATTCAATTCTACCAATGAAATCTTGCAATCAACAGGGATAAATATTGCTGTAGATAGTTACCTCAAAAGTAAGAAATCTATCTCATGACATCCTGGATCATCCCAGAGGCATGACTTACTAGCTTATCTTGGTACACTGGTAAGTTGAACAAACTAGTTTGCCTGAACCCGTGGCCCATTGGTAGGGCGTGTATCTGGAGTTTACCTGTCGATAATTCTGAGGCTCAACGTGCTTGTGGCCCAGTCTATACCCAGGCCTCCTGGTTGTAGTCTATTCAATCAAGCTGTTTGATACGGCTGCTTGCAGCCTAATCTATGAGTCACAGCCCTGTTGATCAGGTATTCTTTGAAGGTGTTTGTCAAGTTCTCTCTTGAACACTGAGGAAGGTCTGTCAGTTATGCCCCGTATGTATAGAGGGGGGAGTGTTGAAAAGTCTTGGGCCTTTGAAGATTTTTTCAACATCCCCAGTGCCTAGATGCACCTATCTGGCTTATTACTGGTAGGCCCTAGTGAGTCTCTTGTGAGGTCAATTATACATAAAGGACAGCCTGTCAAGCCTTTTCTTGCTCATTGAGAGTTTGAAGACGGTTCGTTACTTTTGCTACATGACGACAATCACTCTGCCTCCGCCATGCAGCCTGTTGGATTGTTGACTCTTATGATCCTGAGCCTGTCTCTGAAGTAGAGGCATTTCAGGCAGCTGCTACTAGGTTTTTCCAGTTGGCAGCATTAGTGACTTTGTGCTCAGATAAAAGCCGTGAAATTGCACCATGTGGTGCATAGGGACTCGGAATTGGATGTGTTGGTGATATCCACCTTGGCTCTGGCTGTGCCTCCACTTCCTTTCCAGGCAGGTGTGGTTTACCCTACTTCAATTCCTTCCCTCATGCTTCCAGCTCCAAAATGTCTTGTGGGTTGGGTTGGGGGGGGGGGGAATCTGCCAGAAAGTTTTTTTTTTTCTTTTTACATTCAACGTAGTAGTTTTTTGTACTTCATCTGTACTATAAAGAATTCATCTGCAGACATTTAGACCCCAAATTTGTAGTCTGCCTAAATCCCTAACATAGAAAATGTAAAATTATCAAAACTTTTCATCACTGGATTACTGGCAGACCATATTAGCTTTGAGTGTGTATTATTTGTTATTTTGCAGATATCCTTAAAGATAAGTTTAAAAGTTATGTCATTTTTCTTTTTACTGGTGCATAGAATGATCACATGTGCATATTTCAATACAGTACTGTTACTTTTGATTTTGGACGAATAATAAATGTTAAAATATTTTTAAACATTCGTATCATATTTGTATACTATCGGTCACCGGGCATGCGCGCGGTCAACTTAGGGGTCATGCACCGAGCGTGCGGGCGCGCGCGCGGTGACACCTAAATATGTATACTCGTTTCAGCTTTCTCACCTTAATTCTTGTGCTACATTGCTCGTTTTGGTATCATTTTGTTCGCAATTAAATTCCCTACAGGTGTGTGTATAAATATAATGCCTAAAAGCCTGGCGTGACTCCCAACAGCAAAGCCTAAAGTCGGCAAAAGTTACCTGTGAGCGCACAAAATCAGTAAAATGTGCATACTCGTTCCATTTTTCTCACCTTAATTCTCGTGGTACATCGCTCATTTTGGTATCATAGTGTTCCCAATTAAATTCCCTACAGATGTGTATGAATATAATGTACAAAAGTTTGGAGTGCCTCCCCGCAGAAAAGCCTAAAATTACCGATGAACGAGCACCAATTTGTACACTGCAACCTAATGTGTATACTCGTTCAGTTTGATAACATCAATTTTCGTGTTACGTCTTTCATTTTGGTATCAAATTGTTCGCAATAAAAAGGCACGCATTTTAAAACTAGTCCCATAATAATAGAGCAATAACTGGAATTTTAACAAATATTTTAATTCTGGAAGCTCATCATCACAAAAGTATTTATATCTTTCCAGTGTTCTGACATAAATTTTCATGTTACATCTTTCATTTTGGTATCAAATTGTGCGCATTCTAAAGGCGCTTATTTTGATACTATCCCTAGGTCGATTGGATAAAAAATTAATTTTATACAAATATTTTTGTAGTGAACACAAGTCCGGTCCAAAGTTAGGATTCAAGAGAAAAATAATGGACGAGAGTCCGGTCCAAAGTTACCGATAGTATTAATCTACACCATCCATGATCTATTATAAATTCACCAAATTTGTAGTAATAACGCAACAAATAACTAGAAAATGCAAAATGATTGTAAAGATTTTACGGGTCGCTGAGCAGGGTCCTGGGGAGCCCAAAACATTTATGAGCAGGAACGTATGTAGAGGCCGGAATGCAAGTGTTAATTAATATCCTAATGTAAGCTTATATTCCTATACTATACTTATTATATATACTGTAGTCATTGCATGTATGTGTGTGTAATTCATGATGCCACTGTTCATAACAAAAGATATACCATTCCCATAGGCAAGTTGTCACAGTTGATTCACTGCCCAGCTCTTATCCTATCCTCAAGTTCCATGGAAGTGCAATAAAGTCATACCGGCTTAATGCTTTCTTCTGATAATTACCTTCCCTCATTGTCATTGACTGAAATAAATATATCTGCACTAATTCTTACTTGCCAGCCACAAACTTGATGCACAAAATTCTGTTCATGCATGACGTAGCCCTTGCAGGCACATAATGAGCTACAGCATAATGCCCTCTTTGGCCAAATGTGAGCAGGAGCTTTAGTCATTAATACTGTGGAGATTTATCAGGCACCTCCTAATAAGGAAATTCCTTACAGGCTCGAAACCTTGCTGGTCATGTGAGTACAAACTCTGAATTTGTTGCAGAAAAAAATGGGAATCTTTCATTGGCTCTATTTTTAAAGGGTTACGTATCTGGGCAGAAAGGTTTTAACGCTTGAGTGTCATCTCAATTAAGTCATTATAGGTATTTTTAAGATGTTCCCAATTGAAGTTCATTAATATAAATTAAATGCTGTCAAAATTTGTATTTGTTTTCCTTAAAAAAAAATGTTAACACCATTGAAATGTCTAATGTGACAATTAAAATTTAAATAACTTGTCACTTTCATTTGTTCTGATTAGTTGATCAGCTAATTTGAATTAACTATTTGAACATGCCATTAATTATAAAGTTATACCGTAATATTTATTAAGCCATATGAATATAGTACTGTATATTGTAAAGCATATCTGTATATGCAATATACACCAAATTATGCTTATATTTAAAGCTTGAAGTTAGCATTTAAAGGGAGAAATTGGTCATTTTGATATTGTGTGGAATTAAATGATTACATTCCAGGGGAACTGGAAGCTATTTTGCAGAGATAGCTTCTATTACTGAGTCACATCAGTCATAGGCATCCTTTTGGCCTACTGGAGACCAGAACCTGGCCTCCCCTTTCCCTTGAAGAGGAGCCGAGCAGAGGATTATTACGATCACCGTCGTATGGGAAGCAACCAGACAGCAGACGAGACAATACAGACAACTGCATGGTTCATAAAAATGAAGCACCTGAACAGTTTAGTCAACAGACATTACAGAAGAATCGCTCAAAACAAAAGTTCATATGAAACTGGGTATGAAATACCCCATAGTGTGCCTTCTTGCCTTCCCTAGTCAGTAGTCATCTCTTCATAGCAAGTCCCACTTTTTCTCCAAGATAAGCGGTGGCCATCCTTTGGAATCTGTCCTATGAAGGCCATTTTACTAGTGTATCAATCCTAATTTTTGGGGTTTGCTCTTTGTATCCAGATTTAACCTGTTGGTTTTTTGGTGTCTGTTCTTCTAGGAAACATCCTTAATTCCTGGGTGTGCTGGTTGGATAGTTGCCTTCAGGCCCCGGCAATCTCCCTGCTGGTTTGTAGTGTAGCTCATCATGGATGGAGCTGTTGAGCCCGTTCACTGCATGCGTGAAGGCTGCTCTTCAGCTTTGCTACTTACCGACAATCATTGTCTTCACAGTGCTGCTTGCTGTATCAATGACACCTTCGACACAAAATCCTGCGGCATTTGTGTTGGGTCTGTCTTGTCAGAGACTGCATTTGGACAGGAGGCTTTTCAGACAGCTGCTGCTTTATAGGTTGTTTTTTCCTCGCTTCCACGGTTTGCAGCATTGTGCTCATTTGGATGCCCCGGTGTTGGCCCCTATATCATTTGGGGAGTTGGTTTTGGAGAATTTGAATTTTACCTGGTCTAAGTTTACTCTTCCTTCCTCTGTTGGTGTGGAGCACTTGGTGTCTAGTCTTCCCCTCCCCTGGTTTAGGCTCCAAAACGTCTGAGAGGGGGTATCGGAGTCAGGTTACTATGAATGTAGCTTGGCTGACTCTGGGGTTTGGAAACTACTGGCGGTTTGGCAGCCACCTCCATCTGGCTAAACTTATTCCAACCATTTACCACTGTTTGCAAAAGAGGGCCTTCTAAAATTTTTGTTCACAGATATGCTACTTATGATACCAAATCGTGTAATCCACTCAAAGGTCTGCAATGAGGAGTGGAGGTCGACCTTCTGAGGACATGCCCACTTGCCGACGTGCCAAGGGCTCTCACTGGTTTCAACAATCTAGTCTGGCTTGCAGATCAGAATTAACCTCCTCCTACTCACTTGAGCCAAGATCTCGACTCTGAATTCTACATCTCAACACGTCCTGTAACCCTCCACAACACAAACCGTTTGAGGAGTTAAGCAGTCCCTGCTTGTCTTGGCCTGCCAACACCCTCTTTTTCTTGAGGGTTTGGCTTGGGTTCTTTCGGAACTGATCATTTGTTTGCCATGGTGTGGGATATGCCTTCCCTGTTTTCTATATTCACCTAGTTGTGTTTGCGGGGGTTGAGCTTTACTCTTTCAGCCCGCCTCTCAACTGTCAATCAACTGTTTACTTACTACTTTTTTTTCACACCACACACACCCCAGGAAGCAGCCTGTGACAGCTGACTAACTCCCAGGTACCTATTTACTGCTAGGTAACGGGCATTCAGGGTGAAAGAAACTTTGCCCATTTGTTTCTGCCTGGTGCGGGAATCGAACCTGCGCCACAGAATTATGAGTCCTGCGCGCTATCCACCAGGCTACTAGGCTCCCTGGTAGCCAAGACTGTGATGGCATTCTCTTGCCAGTGGTGGCTTGCCTGTTGCTCCAGTTCCCTGTGGGTGTGGGTTGGAGGTGGCTCCTTGTATTATTGAGGATTTTTTATTTTTTTCTGGATACATGTTTGGTTTAGGTTTGTTCAGAGTGAGTGCAAATTGTAGGATTCAGTATTACCTAGGTTAGGTTCTTACTTCTGTATTAGGATTAGATTCCGTTCTGTTTCTATTTTTATCATTCATTTTTCTTTATTTTTAACCGTAACATTGTTTAAAAAATTCAAGTCGGCAATCAACCCGGGCATTTTCCGCGGCTCCTCCACTTCCAGCAAATTGGCCCGACAATGTGCTTTGCTGGCTCAAATTTCTCTGATCTTATGTCTGGAGTTTTTGATGCACGGGTACAGCCATTTATATGGTTGGTTATTGGTGTCCCACCTGCATCTTTCCTAGCAGCAGCAGTATGAAATTGCCTGGTGATGCTTTTTCCACTACCTGTCTCTTGATTTTGGTTTCAATCGGGTTTGTCATCCTTTATTGCTTGTGTTCAGTGTCAATAACTCCATAGTGTTATTAAGTCCCTGGTGGGTGGTTTATTTGCAGTCCTCTTTTCTGGTGAAAAATGTGTGGAGACTTCCAGAGGGGTTCTTTGGTGAGTAAAGCTTGGTTGGTTCGGCAATGGGTACATCATTTGTGGTTTCTTTTGGTTGCTTTTTGCCACTACCTGCAGCCTCTGGTTCTGCCTCAGTGGTTGCATACCTTGTTGGTTTGACTCAATTTCCTTCGTCCCCTGTTCCAAGGCTTACATTTCTCGGGTCATCCACTATGTCATAAAGTCTAGCCAGCTGTCTACCCTCGGCCTCATGATGTTTGCAAATACAGTATACTTGTCTGGCTGCAGTGTTCTCTAGCATGTCCTGGGCTGATAATTGAGTTCAGAGATTTCGTTGTTCTAACAGGATTTTGACGTCTTGGATTCTCAACGTTCCTTGTCCCAGCTGGCTGCGTGTTGCTTTGGGTCTTGTCTCTTAGCCAGGGTTATGTTCTTTGTCCCAGTGCCTGCTACCTCTGCTGCTCCTCATTAAGTGCCACTTTTGTTCTCTGGTTTGTTTGCTTGATGGAGTCACTGGGGAGCTACCCAGCATTGAATGTTATGGAGCTCTCATTATTATTGCGATAGTTGGAAGTACCTTCCCGCTTACCACCACCACCACCCGTCTCATCATAATGCTATCCTCTCTTCCCTCCATTGTCCTGCCATCATATCCATGCTGATATTCGTTGTAGCTATTATGTTTTTATTTATTTTAAAACCACATGTTTAATCTTGCTCTTTTTGGTATATAAAACATGGTGATTATAAAGTGAAAAAAGTGTAAAATAATATTGAACATCATTGAAATAAAATTGGGTACCTTTGATCTCTGTATAACTCAGATCTGGGGCTGCCCCCATATCATTCAAATTTGTGATATCTGAATTGACAGTATTGGCTGAAATTTGAGCAACATTACTGCAAAAAAAAAAATAACTAGGAAAGTACAGCCAATATTGATACAGTACTTTGGTACACCTCTACAAATACATTACTTTTAATTGTACCAACTTTTTTTGTAACAAGTCTATGAATGACACTTTCAATTGCCTTCAGGACAACTGGGATGATGAGGATGAGGAGAAAGAAAAGGCAGCGACGACAGACACTACTGTACTTTTAGTTAAAAAGAAAAAGAAAAAGATAGCGGATATTATTGCAGAGAAAGAAGTAAGTTATTAAATTACTGTTATAGGATTATTATGGGATGTGCATAGTAGGGGTGTGCAATGGTTTGTCATGTAAATGTTTTTTTTTTTTTTATCAAGGCCCTTGTTCAATATTGACTTGTGATAATTTGGGGTTATGTCTACAATACCTTATCTTTGAGTACTCTTTTCATGATCCAGTATGTGGTTTGTATTCATTTCAATTATATTGCTCATTACTTTTGTGTGTGGAGGGGTTGGGTTCAATTTTTGGTTGTAAGGTGATGGGCTGCAGTCTGCATTTCCTCACTACTGGTGGGGGTGACAGAGGTTCTTGAAGTTCCAGGTTTCAAAAATTCCTTTGTCAATTGTGTATTCCTGTCACAATTTATATATGATGATCATATTGTCTCTCTCCCTTCTATCTTTCAGCTTTGACATATTTAATGCTACAAGCCTTTCCTCGTAGTTTTTTCTTGAAGCCATTTAATAGTATGTCTTTGCATGTCTTCTAGTTTATTGATACGCTGCTTGAGATATGGACTCGGCATACATGACAACTGCATATTCCAGTTTCGGTTTCTTAATGTACTGTACTGTACTGTAATGGATTGTGTTACACTCTTTACTATTTCTCCATCTGTATATTTAAATGCTGTTCTAAATTTGCTAGTGCAGTTTATGCTTTTCTCAACATTTTATGTGATCCTTTGGTGACCAATTACTATCCAGAATTATCCTAGATATCAGGATGTTCTAGAAAGATATTGCCAGTTCCTTAGTATTTTTCACATACCTGGTATAGTTTAAAAGTTGTACCTAATGAACCGTATCTTGGACACATCAGTACAACTTAAGATCTTTTATAAATAGTGAGAAACTATGAAAAATAAATGGAAAATTAAAATTAATTAAATTTTTCTACTGAAAAAGCTGCTATTTCTCTGGCCCACTATGGCTAAACCACAAGACTTGTTTGGAGTTTTGTTCCCCTTGGATGCTGATTAACAATGCCAAAACTAGACAATACACTAGCCAGTGATGTGGTGGAGATGACTCCATACACAGTTTTAAATGTGGATATGATAGTGCCCAATAGGCTAAGGAGTGTACATCAGTTGATACAGTAGAGTGGTGGTACCAAACAGCTCATGGAGGAACAATTAGGTGAGTGCAGGCTGCCAATAGAACTTCTTCCACTGCTGATGTTATCTATAGGAACAGCTGAAATAAGTCTGGTGTATACCTTACCTTCATAGTGTGTGCGCAACCACCAAATATGAAACTACTCCTGTGGAAAGACATTCGTTAAGGGCACTCAAAATACACATTCTCTGCAGTACTGCAATGGAAATATTGAAGGGTTGTGTAAATTGTAATCGACACCATCTGAAGAATTATCTTTAAAAATGTGCTGTGGATAGAAGTTGATAGAAAACAAGGAATACTCTAAAGTTTCAGACCAAGGATAGACAGTGGTATGGGAAATTTATTTAATATCAATATTGGTAGCAAAAATAGGTCTGAGAGAGATTTATTAGGTATAAAGGATGACTTGTTGTAACTGATTTTATAGTATGTAATGTTTTATAGAGAGACATTGAGAGTAAGTTTATTGGAGATAAGGTTTTACCTGCAAGGACTTTTATCAAATTATTTGATGAATCCCTTTTCAGGCAAACCGTCACAAATAAAATGTACTCAATTTGCTGGCTCTCGACATCATTGTCACCCCATTATACTTTGTTCAACCAAAACTAAATTGATATTTCATTTTAATTTTTTGTTTAAATAAATTGTTATTGCATCCATGTGTTTGTTTGCACCTATTTGATTTACATAATTTTTAAAATTAAAAATAAGATTTTGTTAAACTTGTTACTCTGTACAGTACTGATGTATTTTAGTGTTCATCAACAGGCAAAACAAACAGAGGAAAATGAAAAACGGAAGAGAGAGGCAGAGGAAAGGGCGAAAGCCAAGACCGCAGAGGGAATATTGGCTGAAAAAATGAGACTTCAAAAGATACAGGAAGATTCTGACTTACAACTAGCCAATGAACTTCTTGGGACTAATAGCAATCCTGAAGAAGGTGCGGCAGTAATATCTGATGAGGTTTATCTCGAGCTTACATAGTACTCAAAATCATAAATTCCTCCTTGGTGCCCAAGAGGAATTAATGATGGTTCACATTATCCAACTTGGAGTACTGGAAGCTATATAAGGTTATAAACTTGTAATGCTGTTGTGTGGATGATTATTGATCAGAATTTATAATGTACAGTGTTACAGTAGTTGGATTATTATTCGTTTTTGTTTTAAAGACATGAATTCTGGGAAATAACCATAAACATTTACTTGAAAAGTGGAGCCAGTGTTTATTTTTTATGCTTCAGGAAGATTCTAATCTTAATAGAATTGAATTCTGAAAGACAGTAGAGTAGTACAATTTCTTTCACAGTTCTAAAATTTGATTGGGTTGTGGAGAGCCTTCAGTGTGAAAGGAAATGTCGTGGCCATATCTGCATGATTGCAGGTGTGATTAAAAGAAAGAAATGAGAATGTGTAAAGTGAGGAATAAGAACAGGTTTAATTTACAATACGAGCAAAGTGGGTCTGGTGGCTGAGTGGACAACGCTTGGGATTCGTAATCCTAGGGTCTGGGGATCGATTCCCAGTGATAGCAGAAACAAATGGGCAGGGTTTCTTTCACCCTGATGCTCCAGTTCACCTAGCAATAAATAGGAGTTAAGACAGCTGTTATGGGGTGTGTTGGGGGGGGGGGGGAACTTGATTGACAGTTAAGAGGTGGGCCGAAAAAGCCAGAGCTCAACCCCTGCAAGCACATCTAGGTGAATACAAAATGAAGAGGTTGGGGGATAATTGAGTTAATGTGGAAATGGGTTTGGAAAAAAGTCTTATCAGACTGAGAGGGTCTTGGTTTACTAGTGGAAGTGAATATTTAAGTGGATTGTTAAAAAGTGCTTACAGCTGGGCTATTTCAGGATTCTTGCGTATTTTAGTTTTTAGGTATCTGCTACCAAAATTTACTTGTTTCTGTTTGCGAGATTTATTTATTTTATATAATTTACATGAAAAATTATTTAAATACTGAACGACTGTAAAGTAACACATGGCACATTATCAAACACGGTAGCATTAGATTTTTGCCTTTAGTCAGTTTGAATACATCGCTAATGTGTTTGTTGTTGGCTCCTGTATTGGTACTGGTGTTTTTTGTACCTCAAACCATTAGATAACAGCAGTTAACTCTGGTACTGTGCCCATGTTATTTGTGACAGCCCTGTGGTGTGCATAAAGATACTAAACTTCCCCCCCCCCCCCTTGAGGAAATCACCTCAAGGTAAGGTAACCTCTATCCCCCCAAAAATTTAATTCTAATTCTGTTAAAATGTGTTCCCTAATCATGGAAAATGCGTGGAGTGAGTAGACGTCCTCTCGGTGACCTCAACACTCGATTCAAACAAGACCAGATCACGGGGTGGGTTGATGGATGGAGAGTGGTACTCGCCTAGTGCTTGAAGGGGTTGAGCTTTGGTTCTGGCCCCGCCTCAGAACTGTCAATCAACTGGTGCACAGATTTCTGAGCCTACTGGGCTATTATCATATCTACATTTAAAACTGTGTATGGAGTCTGCCTCCACCACATCACTGCCTAATGCATTCCATAGATGTTTACTCGTGCAATAAATTACAAATGGCTGACTTATAATGCAGTACGTACAGAATACAGTATTTGTATTTTCAATCATTTGTTCATATAATTAAACCTCTTCACTCGCCAAAATCGGTAAACGTTGACAAGCAGGATAATTATTATTCATGGTAAATATGCTGTATTTTGTTTTGCCCCCAAAATATTGGTTTTTGTAATAATTTTTTTTAAGGTCCAGGAATATATCTCCCATTGTGTCTATGGAAAATCTCGTTCCACATTTTGAACAAATGCTTTATGAGCACCTTTTCAGAACATAACCCATTCATAGTTGGGAGGGAGGGGACTCCCTGTAATGTTTTTCATTCCTGTGTAACATTAATTTGTGTTAAAAAAGTGACTTCATTTTGAATATTGGTTTGTAATTAAGTAGTAGTAGGCCAAATGATAAATCTTAAAGCCACTATTAATTTTTAAGATGTCCTAAAGTAATTTGGTAACTTGGGTGGTTGCTGCAAAAGTACAGATGTCAGGTTTCAGAGAAGTAAAGTGACTGAAATTAAGGAGTTCAGGACGTAATTTATAGGTACATGATGTAGACAAGCAGTTGGCAAGAATAATGTACAATAGAGTAGTGTAGTGGTGGTGGTAGGTATAGTAAACTGTACAGTGGGTGCTTGTCACAAGAATAGGCAAGACCATTCATAGGTAAATCAGGTTATTTGGGTATGGAGGTTTTAATTTATATTTACAAAGTTTATTATTAAGCTAGGTGCCTATGTTGGATCACTTCCTCATGAAAGTTGAATAACAGTTTTCTCTTACCAGAAAATAGCACGATTTGCATGTACATTATCAATACTTCAACAATCTTATTTGATTTAGTAGAATATGGCAAGGTTTAATAAAAATAATTACTTATTTTAAAGTGAAGTTATGTATTTATACCCTGATATAATACATTCATTGGGGTAATTTATATATTTTTTCTTACAGATACAAGTAGTAAGCTGTTGGATAATATAGATTTATCAAGTAATGATGGTTTGACATTATTTAGAAAAGCTTTGATATCCAAGATTAGAACTTCGGAGCGTTTAGAAAAGCGGCCGTTCTTTATTACATTTGTGGAAGATGTTTGTCGAGACCTGTGTCAAAACCGTAAGTTTATTGGACACAGGTATTAGCTCTCAATTTTTTCCGATTTAAAAATTATTATCCTCTCCTGTATTACCAAACCATTGTTTACATTGAAGGCAGTTACAAGAAGAGTAGGGAGTCTCCAAGGCAATGGATATTTTATAGGACTTTTCCTCATTTAAAGGAACACTATGATTAAATGATTTTTTTTTTTTGTGCTTTTGATATTAATTTTCCACTAGTGCGCATTAATCTTGACACTGCTTTTTTATCATTCATGTCATTTATTTTTTAACTTGATGTATTAATGGTCATATGCAAGAATTTTAAACATTTGTATAAATAACATTTAATAGTTTGCAATATGAGAGCGATAGAAATTTGACACAAAATAGTAAGTTAATTTTTTCTGCTCTGATTTTAATGCTTTTGTCTATTTAACTACTGCAATCTAAATACAAATGTGGGTTTTATGAGTTGCCATTGGTTAACAAGCATGTTGCATGCCATCATTTATGTGGCTGTGTACCATCACTACCTTGTGGATGTGGGAAATTCAAATTGCTTAAAAATGGGTGCTTAAAATAAATCAGAAGCCATAGTTTTCTCAACACTTAAACCTGTAGAGAGTTTGAAAAGATGCTGTAGCTATATATGAATGTTAAGGAAATAAATGTATTGCATATGGCCTTCATGTCTTCAGCAAGTTGAATAACAATGTGGGTAATTTCTTTGCCTATTCAGTTGAGACGGAGGAAGTGAAGAGAGTATCATCAGTCCTCACCTCGCTCTACAACGAGAAAGTTAAAGCTGGCAAACCCAAAAGCAAGAAAAAGGCAGCAGGAAAGGCCAAACTGAATGTGGGACAGGGCGCTCTTGTTGTAAGTTGCTTCTCAAAATATCAAGCTTGTATTATGCTGGATAGTATGGTTATGTCCTCATAGTTCTCTTAGTGTGATGATTTGCTCCATGCCAGTTGGGAGATAATAGCATTTACTTTTTTTTTTTTTTTTTTTTTTTTCTCTCTCTCTCTCTCTCTCCTCAAACTTTCAACGCCAATGGTTCCCATTCCTGGGACAGGAACCAAATTAAGCTTATCAAAGTTCTACTGACCTTCCCCAATATGCAACCTACAACCTTTCCCAACCAACCTACAGTATAAATGGCACCTGGCCCAATGGCCAGGTGCCATTTATACTGCTAGATGAATAGCAGCAGCAGCAGGAGAATGGACGCATACTCAAATGTGTGTGTGTGTGATATTCTTTGAACAATGGAATACTTGATAAACATTTTCAGAATAGCCGTAAAACATTATTTAGCATATCATAAGAGGGGAATGTTTGAAAATCTGCAAATGCTTAAAGCTAGATACAGTAATTTAGAAAAAATGAATGTTAATACAGTATTTTAAAGTTAATTATTTTTAATTGTTGCTCTTTTTTTCTTTTCAGGATGATGTTGGCAATGATTTTTCTGCCTACACTGAATATGATGATTTCATATAGTGTATTATTATAATAGACAATTGCTTTCGTTTGGCTTCCTATGAGGTTTTCTTTGTATATACTCAATTCCAGGCTTTAAAAATTGAGTGGAAACCCTATTGGGTAAAATCTGGATCAGTCAGGCATATGAAAATATATTTCTATGTATTTTTCAAATTTTTAGTCCATGTATTTCCATAATTGCAAGTGATTGTTTCCGATGCTAGTTTGCATCCCATGTCCACAAACTTCACTTTGTGTAAAGATACACGCCTCCTCTCTCTGCTCGATACTTACCAATGCGCGTTTGAATGTTAATTTACATCACATTCATTGTCATGATAGGCAATGGTTAAAATCATAAATTTGTTTGGAATTGAGCAATCTGTTATAATTTTTAGAATTGAGATTTACTTGAACCTAAACTCAGCAGTCTAGTAAAATAATTACTTCTAAAGCCTCGGTTGTATAAAAATTGCTCGGTCTTCTGAATTTAAAAAAAGGACTATATAAAAAATAGGCAGCCTTGGTGTATATTGTATTGATCAGGTTGTTACTGTAGGACCCTAATGACTGCCCCTACAGCATACACTTCCATACTACTGTATTTGAAACAAAAATAATTAATGCTTATTATTTGCTGTTACAACTTGTGGCCTTAAATTTTCTCCTGTGATTGGCCGTTTTTCAGTTATACTTGTATTTAACTCGGCTCTTCACGTTCTAACCATTCCTCCTCACCTTTTATAAGCAGCTTTGAAATTGGCCACCTTTAGGATTGTTCACATAGTTTTTTTTATTATTATATATATTTTTTTTTTTGGCTTTGGAAAGAATGGCAATTTATCATTTACTACTAATAAAAATGTTTGTTATTTTCCATTTGTTTTTTAGCCTCTTTTTTTTTATTTTTATTTTTGGGTATACATTTTATAGTAGCCTGACTGATGCTGTTTTTAGCACCTGAAGAAACTGAGTTACTGCATCTTTGGTTGTATACACAAGGATAACTGATGTGCTAGAGTAATATGTAATTTAATTTAAAGGTATAGAAGTTAGTAAATGTTGCAGCATTATCATTATACATCAGGATGTCAGTGTGAAAACTCCCTATCCCTAAGTGTAGTGGTCTGTCTAACCTCTTACTACTTTCCGCTCAGAATAGCTTGCATCAAACAATTTATCCCTGTCATATTGTAAGTGACTAGACACCTTTGTTTAGGTGTTGTGTCTTTGTCATATCAAAATTAAGCCTCATTATTGGGAAAAGTGACGTGGAATACAGTATTATCTCGACTACTGAGAGAATGCAATTACCTAAGTGTAGTTACAGGATGAGAGCTATGATCGTGGTGTCTTGTTTTCCCGGTATGCTTTTTCATATGACGTTTTGAAATTACTGATAGTTTGAAATCCACTGCCTTCTCACTTGTTCCATCAGTCTACCATTGTATTTGCAAACAAGAACTTGCTAATATTTTTTTGGTACCTTTGTTTCATTAGCTTCAATCTTCTTGAATTTGACCTTGTCCCTCAAGGTCATTTACCCATAAATGAATTTGTTGTCTTCAATATCTCTCGCCTTGTGTGCTTTTGTTTTCGTATTGGCATCTTCAGTGATATTTAGAGCCTTTTGAATATCCTGCGACACTGTTGGTGTTTGGTCTCCTTGAGTTTATACCTTCTTTTGATAATTACTCAGAGATACTGTATACTGTAATATGAGTGAGTTTGAGTGGATGTAAAGAAAGGTCCCTCACATGAGTCAATAGGTTCGGTTTCATGAATTATGCTGTTATGTCTACAAACTGAAATCATTCTTTTTAACATTAGATATCACAGTAGAATTTGTAAAATTTAGTACAGTACTGTAGGCCCATTAAAAAAAGACTTCAACAAAGAACTAAGAGATAACATGAAGGGCCCAAGGTTTCCAACACCATCCCTCTACAACCACTATTAGCTTGGCTGAGAAGGGTGTCAACGAGTAGGCTTAGTTAAAGACTGGGCTATGAAACCAGTAAATCAGGAAACCAGTTTGTGGCCACGAACGGAAAGCTGACAATCTTGAGTAGGGCTCTACACCACCACCCAGCGACATCCAGTGCTGCTCTTGCTTGTTAAATAGCACTGCTTGGGTTTCAAATCTTACTAGAGGCGTGTCAGTATTCTCACACTATATTATTGGATTCAATAAAGATAGAAAATTTGTTAATATATATAGTGGATATGGTTATTGCTTTATTGAATTTATTGGTATGACATAAGTAATTATCAAAAAAAGATAGGCTGAGAATATGTACGCACCATCATAAGTCAGCTAAACTACAACAGTCAATTGGATATTTAGGATATAAGAAAGTAAAGAATATATTGAACATTTTAATTACATATCGCTCGTTCCTTTACACAATAAATAAACAAGTTATATACAGTACATTATTCAAGAAATAGGGATATTGGTTTTTAATTTATATATCGCACTAAGAAAAACAGGCAGAAAGATGATTTTGTGAGCAATTATACAACGCTAATAATTTCTTGTTACAATACGTCAAACTGAGTCCACCTGTGGGAACTATGTATATACTAGCGGGAACTATGTATATACTAGCGGGAACTATGTATATACTAGCGGGAACTATGTATATACTAGCGGGAACTATGCATACACTAGCGGGAACTATGTATATACTAGCGGGAACTATGTATATACTAGCGGGAACTATGTATATACAAACTGTTCAAACTCCTATGATTCGGTGTAGAGATTATACATTAATGCTACATCTATCAAACAGATGTCCACAAATGGTTAAGCATATATAAACCAAACAGATTTACACAAATTAAAATGCAACATCATTGTTCATTGAAGATATAACATATAGAGGTGCAGTTATTTAAAATATATTCACAAAGTACATCATACATAAACACTTACGTTCAGTCAAAGGTGCTAGTTTTTCACCCAATTAAACATATTGGATAAATCCAATGATTAAATCTGTAGATGCCTATCATTAACTAAAGTAAGAATCATATAATATAATGCCGTTAACATGCCAAATATTAGTCAAGATTTGAATAGGGTTGTGCAAGCTGCACGAGTATAAGGAGTGGAAAGTTTCCAGTTACTCCTGAGAGTAGAGGAAAGTGTTTTGGCCACTCCTGTAAATAGTCAAGAGTATTCCAGCCACTCCTATGAGTAGTGAAGTGTTCCAGCCCCTCCTGTAAAGTTGGCTTAATAGCGATGAAAGTCTCGACCATTTGGCTTCTCATAATAACATATAATCTTAAGCTACAGTTTTATCCACTAACAGAGCTTTCTCTGTGGTGGAGGCTTGTGTGAATGCCACTTAAAATTTGTATTGAAGCAAGTTATTTGACTTGTGTCCAGTCGTCACGTCGTGTTATATAGCATAAGGGTCAGTGTGTCATGTTACCTGATATATTGGTCACCTTGACACTTGAGTCATTCTTCAACTCAAGTTTTGATTATACATTATCAGTAACTATCTTTCACTAGTTTGGTTAACTTTTGTTCTTGAAAAGTGGTAATGTTGGTACATTACTGATTGAATAAATTATTATTATTATAGTATTAAGCCTGAGTCTCATCAATAATAGTGATTTTAGGACTGTCCATTCAGTATAAGGTCTTACACTGTATTGCTATACTCCAAGTCAGGCATTCGAAATTAACAAATATATGAAAAATATTGATTAGAACTGAAAAGTTAGGCTCATACCATGCACAGTATGTGACTTAGGGAATGTATTAGAAGGAAAATTTGTGAGTGCGTCCACCATCCCACCAAACTCTCTCCATGCTTGTACAAACTTGGGAGAATAAATAAACCAACACTGTCATGAGTTGTCCTGAATGGAATGTCTTTGGGGTCTTCCGTGTTCTCTAATATCCAAACTGTCATGAACTATAGAGGCGCCCAAACTTGAAAGCCTTGCACCTGGAAGGTGCAAGGCTTTCCCAGTGCTTTCCCCCCCCCCTCCCCAGTGCTATATAGTCGTAATGGCTTGGCGCTTTCCCCTGATAATTCCTTCCTTTCTCCTGATAGTTTCCTTCCCTTCCACCATGGCCATCTAGCTCCCAGCTTTGATCTATTATTTGTTGTCACAGACTACAGTACTGTACACTTTTGCTTCCTCACGTTCATCTTCCTTATCAATGTAGTCCCAATGTAAGCTCTCTTGGTTTGTGTTCCCGACACACGTACTTAGATAATGGCTGTGATGCATTGACTAATTGTTGACAACTTTTCTGCTACACATCGGCCCATGCCTTCATTACTAGATAAAAAAAACTACAACAGAAAAGATAAGATTTTTTCAGAACAACCATATAGATAATGTTCATAATATGTTCATGATGCTCATTTGTTCTTGCCTACTACTACTACTAGTAGGATGCCTATTATAGTACAGTATTAAGGATGCCTATTACTACTACTATGTTCATGTACTGTATGATGACAATCCACTAAAAATGAATAACATGCACACTGCATGATGCATTAGCAGCAATCATTCACAAGGGAATTTCATTATGCCTTAATGAACTTTTCAGCTCTTGACTTCCTTGACAGATTTTGCTGACACACTTGATAGATCCTCGTTGTTACATAATTAAAATGCTTCACTTTCCACAAATGCCACATTTGACATTGTTGTGGCTAGTTCCGAGCCTTTTTTCATTCTTGTCCATACACATTCATAAGATTGTTTATAATATATCAATAATATTTTCATGCACTAATAATCATATGCAGGGAATTGAAGAGTGGGTAGTGTTGTACTGTACATACACAGCTGTACATGCACTAGCCTATTCAGTTGCTGGCAGCTGAATAGGCTATTCAGCTGCCAGCAACCTCATTTTTTGTATACTGTCACCAATTGCAAGCACAGTGTTTGAGCCTCTTATTCCAAGTTACTCTCAATTTTCACACGAGATTTTTGGGTTATCTTTCTAACATCTCAATCTCTGTTATCCATGCTCCATATTCCTGAGTTACTTTCGGGTCACGCTGTCTTGTCGCTATCCTTACTTACAGAGATTTGGTCACTTTCATCTTCAAACCTGTGTAACTTCTCTGATGTCACAAAGTTCTACTCACCTTCCTTATGTTTTAGAAGTTCTATCACCTTCCTCACATCTCAAAATCTATGTCACTTTGGTCATATGTCAAAATAAATGTCATTTTCTCTCAAAACAAGTTATCTAATATCTCGGACTTTTCACAAAATAAGTCATTTCTGTAACAGATGCACATTCAATATGTAGACTTTGGCGAGTTTTGGCTACTGTTTATATAAAATACCTCAGTGTTCTATCACAGTTTTAAGTCAAGAGCAATCACCAATATACTAAATTGTGTGCTCTAAGTATGCACAGTCAGCTGCTGTATAGTTTGAAATACAGTTTCTTTTACATGTAAACATGGAATTGAATTCTTTACTTAGGTTAACTCTGTGATGCTATATTCGTTGTTATCCAAACAGTTGTCATTACTGCCAAACATTCGAGTAAAAGTCCAGTTTAATCACTAGTCTCGTGGATAAGTGAGTCACGAGGCTCGGTCATAGATCAATAGTTCGCTCTTAATTCCTCCTTAAAGAGAATTTTGTTAGCAAAAACCCAAGGCACTGAGAAATAACTCATTCATGCCTATAGCTTCTGATAAGGCATTACCGCTTCATGTGTAGTGTTATTTGTGTTGTAGCAAAGTAGATACTAATGCTTGCACAAATATTTTGATCCTTGTTTGTCATACCTGAAATAAAATCAAGAGCATCAACATGTAGTTGATGCAAGTGGCAACTATGCAAGAACAGGGGCCTTGACCCAGTAGCTACGAACTATACCAGGTGTCTCTACATTAAGTCTTGATGAAAACTTCACCAGTTGGTCATCCTGTGCTTCTCCCATTCTGTCACTGATCACTCCTGTCACCACCTCTTCGTCCATATCTGCTATTGGTTCTCCAATAATTATAGCAGGGACATTTCCTCGCGCAGAAGGGACAACAGGACTGTGGGTAACACCCCCTCGGCCGTCTGCCGGTGCGGGCTGCTCTTCAACAGCTTTCCAGCCACCATATGAAGACGACTCGATGATAGGGGCTTTAAAGTTGTTGAGCTCTTCACGTTCATTTGGAATGATAGGATAATATGGGGTGTATTCTGTGATGTAGAACGGGGTAGCCGAGTTTCTGGTTATTAGTGTAGGGGATGGTTCAGTTACAGGAGATTCTGCAGGTTGAACTGTGGTCAAAGATTGTTGAGAAGAACTGGTTGCGGCTTCGGTAGTGGATGTGTGTTTATATACAGGTCTTAAACTGGAAGGATCTGGATATCTGGTGGAAGATAAATGTGGGTTTTGAGTGGATGGTGGATCTGAAGATGGAGTGGATGGTGAATCTGAAGATGGAGTGGATGGTGGATCTGAAGGTGGAGTGGATGGTGCGTCTGAAGATGGCGTGGATGTTGGATGAAGTTTATTCACAGGTGTTGCTAAATCTGGAGTCAATATTGTTGCTGGAGGTGGAGTTTGTGACAAACGTGGATTTGAGCCATATACCAGGTGGGACTTGGAGACATCGGGTAGCTGAAGGGACGAGGACAGAGCAGCACGTGCTAGTGGTGTGTCATCATGAAATCTGTTGACTTTATTAGGGCGGGGTCGTCGTCTCCGCGTGCGAGTTTTGCTCTTAGTTCGTGGTTGCTTTTTGATTCTAGTACTTTCCACCACATCGCGTCGTTCAGCAGCTACAGGTTCAGGCTTGGAATTGCCAAATCCTAAGAACGACCAAAAAGAGTCTGAGAACGACTGTGGCGGCAGTTCTTGGCGTGAAGCATAGATTGGTACCGGAACAGGGATGATGCCAGAACGAAGCTGTCCGTCTTCGCCTGTTCTCTCAACAATAGGCATGGGAGGAAATCTAACCTTACCAGCAATTATTCCTTCTTTGTGTTCATCACTCACCTCCTCCATAACATGGTCATCAGAGACTGGGACATATTGGGAGTCCAATGTGGATAAATAAGAAGGTGATATATTGGTACTACTACTCGTGTTTTCCCTGCTGACATTATAGGATACACCAACATTAGTCATGGTTTTATCTGCTGGGGTGGAGTAGATGGCAGGGTCAACAGGGCGCCCGTATACAACACCCGGCACATTATTCATGCCTATATTTGTGACTTCGGGTTCACGTGGCAGCAGTTCAGGGGGATTCTCTACCAAAGCCTCAGGGGTAGGAAGCATGGGCGGGACAACTCCATTAACTGTCTCAATTGGTTGTGTCCGTCTTGAGATGGGGGGTTGGGGTTTCACTTCCGGAACGGGATCATCAGTACTTTCGCTCATTGTAGATGGTGGGGGTGAGATTCTCCGACTTGGTAAAGGTGGAGGAGGGGGAGGCAAGAAGATTGAATCCTGATCAGTGACTTGTGGTGAAGGGTCTCTGTTGGGTAGGTTGATTATTGGTGCTCCAGGTGGTGGCTGCTGAAAAGGCCCAACAACCATTACCTTCTGTGCATGTTTTGGGGCGGGCCCATGAGTCAGCTGATACCGAACTTCAGTGTCTGGTTTCTGTTTGGTTGCCACTTTATTTCCAGCACTATTGGCCTCCAGCAATGGCCCTGTCTCGCCACGACGACGGTTCACAGGATCACGTTCAAAGAAATTGAAATTATCTAGGAAAGATGGACGCTTACTCAGAACTGGACGTCTGTCAGGGTATAGTGGCCGTGGTTGGGTGTTGAACGTTCTTGTCGGAAATCCCTGAGAGCTAAATGTTTCTTGCTGGGGAGGTGCATTAGGACGAAATTGAGGGAGCACATTTGGTCTAGCACCGCTGAGCTGTGGTCGGACGAGATTCTCCTCTTGTACACGGCGCCTTGGCAAATTACCTGCTTCTGCAGGTAGAGTAAAGCCAGGTTCAGGCTGCTCAGCTACAGTCTGAGAACGGGGTGGAAGTGTCTCTGCAGCAGGAACTATCTGAAATGGTGGGTGTATCTTCGCGGGAGGAAAAGGACGATGCTCCCATGAAATAGGTTTATGACTTTGGCTGAATGTTTTCAAAGGAACCGAGTGATCAGCGGGAAGTCCAGGGAAGGGTGCTGGGGGAACGAGTGCAAACTGGGGATGCTGGAGGTGTGTCAGGTCTTGGATTGGCTGGTGAGGGCGGGACTGGGCAGAAGGCTGCTCTGGGAATTCAGGTGGAGGCGGTAAGAAAGATGCAGGAGAGGGTGGTGGTGGGGGTGGTGGTGATAGTGACGGCAAAGATTGAAGACCAGGGGGGAGAGATGGTCTACTAGAATGTGGAGGTATTGGTGGGGGTGGTAAGAATGGTCTGCTGGGTGGCTGTGGAGGAGGTGGTAGAGGAGATAGGGGCTGTGAAGGAAAATTAGTTGAATCTGCATTGATGACAGGCAGAGGCTGGGGTCTTCTGGTAGAACGGTCGTATGAGTTGACCACCGGAGGTAAAGATTGAGAGCCCGTATGCAAATGATCGGATTGATTTTCATCAGCCAAAGGACGAAAGTTGGATGGCTCTCGTCCTGAAGGGAGGAAAGGGTCTACCTTAGAGGGACGGAATGACTGTCCTCCTTCGTTTTGTCTATCAACTACTGAAGGTTTAGGCTGATCACTGGATGTTGGATGCACCTTTTCAGCAAGTGAAGGGACCTCTTGCTCGACTGCTGAAAAGACTTCCTGTTCAACTGGTGTTGGATGCAGTTGTGAGTTTCTAGATGGAATCCGTGTCCCGTAGGTTTGGGCATGAACAGGCTTTTTGGATGATAGTTTCTGTGTATTTTCAAAAGTTTCACGCCATAAGTTGTTAGGTCGAGTGGTAGTTGGTGGCTGTGTAGTAGGAAATGGTGTGGTGACAGGTTGGTGTGAGGTAGATCTGCGTGTGGTAGGATGGTGTGAGGTAGATCTGAGTGTGGTAGGTTGGTGTGAGGTAGATCTGAGTGTGGTGACAGGTTGGTGTGAGGTAGATCGGAGTGTGGTGACAAGTTGGTGTGAGGTAGATCTGCGTGTGGTGACAAGTTGGTGTGGGGTAGATCTGGGTGTGGTAGGTACGAATGAGTCACGGGGAGGTGCAGTGACGTGGGTTGTGGGTCTGGCACCTACGGCTGGGCGACGTGTGTACCTCAGCGGCGGGATGCTGGAGGGGGGTGAAGGTTTTGAATGCTTATCAGTGAAGGTCAGTTCAGGGTCGGTGTTAAGGAGCGTAGGATTAGGTCTTGAGTGGTGAAGGTTTGGTACAGTGAAGGACAACGGTCGGAAAGATTGGTGCACTTCCTCGGAGAGGTTGGGTTGGGTTGTTGGTCGAGCGTGAGTATTCTTTGTGTGAGGATTATGTGTAATATGAGTTGCGGATGGTCGAGAGGAAGGAGCATGAGACGTAGGTGGGTCAGTCGAGCTGTATAAATCTTGGAATGATTCAGTGGTAGTAGTAGTAGTAGTAATGATTTTAGTAGTCGTTTGGTTCGTTTCCACAAGCTTCTTCGTGTTATCTTGAGACACTGAATTAGGGGTGTATGATACTTTAGGTGTGACCTGGTTTGCTGGGGCGTGAACCTGATTGGTGTTGCCTTGGATCTTGGTGCTGGCGTATCCCTTAGAGATGAGAGGGCCAACTGGGCGGTATCGGTGATGGGGGCTGAAGGATGACCCGTTGGAGTATGTGTGAAGGGGAATCTCCAGCAGGTCGTGGAACTGTGGTGGGAAGAGCGCGAAGGGGCTGACCTCGTTCTCCCGCGTAGGAACAAAGGCCGAGCCCGTCTCACTTGCAGAACTTGGTCGGTTATTACCCGGGGGAACCGTCGTCGCCAGAGGATACCTGCAAGTGCATCTGAATGTAATTTACTGCAACTGAAAAGATATTTATCTACGTGCTTACCAAGCAATAAAACTCCCTCGCACATTTTTAAACTACCTGCCTCTCTCAGCCAGATCTTGCCTCTTTACCTTGGTGGGGTTCCGGGAGTTCTTCTACTCCGCAGGCCTGGCCTGAGGCCAAGCTTAACTTGTGAGAGCTTGGTCCACCAGGGTGTTGCTTGGAGCGGCCCGCAGGCCCACTACCACTACAGCCCGGTTGGTCCGGCTGGATGGCCTAGCTGTCCAAGTGCTTGGCCAATAATGTATATCTCATCCAGTTTTACCCTCGCATTCATCTCTCAGCCACCCACCCACGGACCCCCTACCTAAGCTCGCCTCCCACCTCATGCCCACCATTAAGAACGTAAGAACAGAGGAAACAGCAGGTCTGCTGTTTTAAAGACTAAACAAAAGCGGTTAGAAGAACTATATAATGGAAGCCAAAGAGTCACAAAGAGAGGAGAGACCTCAAAGTGGGTGGATATTACCAGTGGCTTACCCTAAAGTGTCAGTACTAAGACCAATCCTATCCCTAACTTATGTAAATAGCTTGCCAGGAGAGATAGACTTCTTCCTACTAATGTTTTCTGATGACGCAACAATGATGGAAAGTAATTTGGGCAAAAATGAGCATGTAAGTACACAAACGTGAGTCCACAGACGGAAACTAAGTATCCAGGTGAGTCACAAAGATATTGCAAGAATTGTTATTTAGCGTCAGGAGAGGGAATATATGGAATGCGCTTAATTGAAGTGGTGGCGGCAGTCTCCATTCACAGACTTAAATGTAGAAATGATAAAGGCCAGCAAGTTCTAGATCCTGTACACCAGTCGAGTAAGGGTTAAGAGACGGGAGTCGATAGCCGCAGCTTCCCCCCCCCCCCCCACAACACATATAGTGTTGAGTACTTAGATGAGTACGTACTGGGCTACTCATCTACAATGAGTAGATGAACTAGATGAGTACTTACTGGGCTACAATACCCACCTCCTAAGTGGGCTCCAATACCAATCTACCTTCCGGGCTACAATACCCAGCTATCTTCTAGGCCGCAACACCCACCTACCTTGTGGCCGCAACACCCACCTACCTTGTGGCCGCAACACCCACCTACCTTGTGGCCGCAACACCCACCTACCTTGTGGCCGCAACACCCACCTACCTTGTGGGTTGCAAGACTCACCTGAAGTTGGCCTGGTCCGCCTGCTTCATTACTTCAGAGAGGAGTGTGGGGTCGGCGTACGAAGGTGCTGACGAGTAGGAGTCTGGAAGATTGTAGCCCTGAGAGAGTAGAGGAGAGTGTTGTGAGGCTATACACTTGAGGACGGTAATGTGGAGTTGAATAGAATTTGTCGCGTCGGAGAAATTAAGACAGATAATCAGTTCTGATGAGGATAACTTCACGGAAGATAATTTGTAGGTACTATACTACACATGGGATGAAAATAGCTCTGAGTCATGGAACCGTGGAACATGCGGAACTGAGCCGTGGAACATGCGGAACTGAGCCGTGGAACATGCGGAACTGAGCCGTGGAACATGCGGAACTGAGCCGTGGAACATGCGACTTCAGCATGGAGTTCCTTGTCTCCTAAAATATAAAACCCAAGGTGTCTCATTTTCAGCCACGTAATTCTGACTTCCTATCTGCAAATTACTGTAAGGCGCTAGACTCACTGCCACAGTGTCCCCGTAAGGTCTGTCGGGAGCCGCAGCACCAGCAGTTTCCGCATCGTCAGGAACACCTTTGGCATCGTAGACGTAGTTGGGGAGCTCATCGGCGTCTCCTATGGTGAGGACCCGGCGGTTGTCGTGCGGTAGAGACTTGTAGAGCGGGTGTCTGGGAAGGTTGACCAGGTCCCCGCGACCCTCCCTGGGCCTGCTGGCCAGGTCCTGGTCAGCAGCAGACACCTGCAGCGCTGCTGTCAGCACCCATACCACCGCCGCCCTCAGCGTCATCCTCGCTACCATCATCTCCTTCATCTGAAGCAGAACAATAGCAGTTAGTACTGTGATAAGAAAAAGTTATTTTCACGCTAGGATTCACAACACGTAGCCTAAACACCAATAACCTGTATTTATTGATTTGCTCCTATATTTAAAAACAAAATGGAGTTGCTGCAATATATGTTACCGGATGTATCTTTTCCCCGCATCTTTGTGTCTAATCCATCAACAAATTCAGATAATTTGTATGTAGTAAAAGTGTATCGGGGGTGGAGCTAATATCGTACCGAATGAACGCTCGCTTGACCATTATTGTTTTGGTCATATCAGCTGTCTCGAGCTTGTGTACAGGTTGGTAGAATGTTAATTTCTAGTTTAATTTCTGTTTGTTCTATCTGTAGTCATATGCTGTTGCTTATTGTTATAAGTGCTAGACACTGGAATTGCTTATTGTTATTACTTAGTGTTAAAACTGCTTGCTTATTGTTAAAACTATTGCTTCTTGTTAAACTGTTTACTGTTATAGACAGAGGTTAAACTATATATATATATATATATATATATATATATATATATATATATATATATATATATATATATATATATATATATATATATATATATATATATGTATTGTGTAGTATATAGCTTGTATTATTGCAGGTTGTAACTGCACTGTAATTATTTGATCAAATAAGCCACGAGTCTGGCAATGCCTTTGTTTACCTCATTGTATACAAAGGAAAAAGAGAAGGTAGAGTTTATTAATAGAAAAATATAAAGCGTTCAAATATTCCACGGGAGCATTGATGCGTCAGGCTGCAGAAAACAGTGAATTCGCACTGTTTAGGCCCACGTCTGCTGTAATCCTATTGGTTTACCTCGTTAGGCAGATTTGTTTTTCTGCATAAGACCTATAATGTACAATTCTGTGAGAGTTATTTTCCTTCCCTGAAGCCACGCTGGCATGTGCACAAAGAATCTTAGACCTGAATACTGATATTGTAATATTTGCGTTAATGCGTGCGTGGGTGTATGCATGTTCAATTGTACAAAACATACATGAGCCCAAGGTAAACATGTATATATGTCAGTCAGAGAACAGGCTACACTTTGATACGGCAAATCACACATAAACACACCCATCTCCGCCCGCACCCCACACTTTCCCCCGCCAACGCACACACACACACTCAATTACGCCCAAGCAAACTGGGTCAAACGTTGGGCGTAGACATCTTGGGTGACGCCTTTAAGATAGCCATTGTTACTCTGCTGTAGCTATTATTCAAATGTATAGCGTTGCGGAGAGGCGCAACCTGTACCACAAAGCCCGACTGATAACCGCCCCTGTGGCGGGTGAACACAGGCGCGGGAAGTTGGCGCGTGGCGCCTTAGTGGGTGGACTGGGGCGCACTGTTGGGCGGGATTAGCGGTCAGCTCAAGTTCAAGTTCAAGTATGTTTATTGAGACAAGGAAGAAATACATCTCAAAGTGATAGAGTAGCTTAGGCTATTTCTAACCCCCCTAAGCGGTCAGCTTTGTTGCCGTCGCTTGACAACACCAGAACTGTGTGTTAATTTGAAAATATTGACTGCCTCTGAATTTGCTGTTTTGAAAAGCTGAAAAAATGTCTGTATGTTCTATTCAGAGCAAGTTTAAAGTAATCGGTAGGGAATTTAGCAGTGGGAGAACACCGCGATGATTCATGTTGATTTTGGGTGAAAATCATTATGGTTAAGACATTTTACATCACTGGCGATTAGTTTGGTGCGTACTTTAAGTATCGTGGGTGGGTGGTGTAGTGCAAGACAAGAGCGGCAGCAGTGAACTGTTGAAACGAACAGAGAATTATAGGAATTATTATAGGAACTTTAGGAATTATATAATGAAACACTTTATAGGGTAAAAGTGTTGGGGTTCAGTATCCTGACTTCTTGCACCTCCTTGCGGTGAGGTGATAGTGAAGCAGGGAAGGATGATCAAAACGTTCCTATAGAGTCCACTCACGTGTTGGAGTCTGTAGAAACGAACGGACAGACGTGCTGGCCGCTGAGGGCTAACACGTCTGTGCTGAGGGAGACCATATTGAATACTTCACCCCCTCCAAGACCCTTTTACATATCAGGGGCATCATCAAAGACCATCAAGACAAGGTGGCCAAGGAAAGGAGAACAGAAGGAGAACAGAAGAGCAACTCGGTGAAGCTGTACGCTGGTACAATGCAGTCGCAACACAACCTCAGTCATCATAGACGACTAGGAGGTGGCAGAAGGAGGGAATCCGTAACTGCAAGAACTCGTCTTGGATACAAGTACTCATGGAGACTTGGGATGGAAGCATGAGTGAAAGGACATCGTCTGGATCATTATCTAAGAGACTGTGCCCATGTATGAGACATTAGCAATAGGTGTAATATAAACCCTACATTGTTCGAGTTAGGAAAGCAAGTTTTGTCAACTACTGTTCTCTAAAGGTTCCTCCCCCCCCCCAGTCGTGCACACGCAAGATAACGTAAACTAGAGGGTTATAAAATGTTAATTCTTTATTTGACAGTCTGTTCACTTGAGACGTTTATATAAGTCCAAACTGTACTCACCTAGTTGTATTCACCTAGTTGTGCTTGCGGGGGATGAGCTCTGCTCTCTCGGCTCGCCTCTCAATTATCAATCAACTGTTACTAACTACTAACTAATTTTTTCACACACACACACACACACACACACACACACACACACACACACACACACACACACACACACACACACACACACACACACACGCACGCACACACAGAGGAAGCAGCCCGTAGTAGCTGTCTAAATCCCAGGTACCTATTTACTGCTAGGTAACAGGGTCATCAGGGTGAGGGAAACTCTGCCCATTTGTTTTTCCGCCGGCTGTCAGGATCGAATCCTGGTCCCTAGGTCTACGAGTCTAGAGCGCTGTCCACTCAGCCAAGCAGCCCCCTGTGTCTGGGTACACTTGACAGGATGATCAAGCTGGAGTGTTTTCTTCATGTTGGAGTGTTGTATATGCTACATAAGAATAAAGGTGTTGACCAGACCACACACTAGAAATTGAAGGGACGACGACGTTTCGGTCCGTCCTGGACCATTCTCAAGTCGATTGTGTGACGTGTGACAATCGACTTGAGAATGGTCCAGGACGGACCGAAACGTCGTCGTCCCTTCAATTTCTAGTGTGTGGTCTGGTCAACATACTTCAGCCACGTTATTGTGACTCATCGCCTGCATAAGAATAAAGGTAACTGCAGAGGGCCTAATGACCCATACGAGTATATATATGTATGTTGTATGTACATGATACATATCATGTTACATACATGCTCATATTAAGAGTGTCCTGCGTGTTAGCATATGTATCATTCATATGGGTATGGGTATGTATCATTCGGTAATGATACATACCCAGTGGTATGTATCATTATATCATGAGCAATACTAATGATGTGTAGGTTGGGTTTGCTAGGCACAGAAGTTTAACAGCGTGTTTATTAAAACATTAAAATGGTAAGGGTAGGGCTGAGGACACCTCCCTGTTAGGGTGCCTAGTTCAAAGTCTCTTGTTACACTCTTATGCCCCTGGAATAATACAGATGACTTCCTGTTGGATAAGTAACCTCTAATCCAACAAAGAAGCCGACCACCAATATTTATTCTTGCAAGCTGACTCAAGATAACACGTCGGTTTGCAATATCAAAGGCAGATGTGAGATCTCGGAAGGTGGTGTATGACTTGTCAGTGTGTAGGGTGAGAAAGGTGACTTGTCAGTGTGTAGGGTGAGAAAGGTGGTGATGCACACTCCTTCCATGTATGACGCCATATATATCTGGGTGAGGGGGGGGGGCGGATAGCATGGCTCATATTCTATGGGGGAGACGGCATAGGACCATTGATGTATAAGAAAATAATAGCGGCTCGCGAAATTAAACATAATGTCCCGTTTTCTGTTTGTGGGTCGTCTGGTGGGTTAGATTACGGCACTTTAGTACGACAGCTTTTTGACGTTGGGAACGTTCGCGAGAACGGGATGACTGGCCATCGTGCACCTGTAACGCCGAACATCATTTTTTGCCGAGTCTCTAAGGCTCGTTTATCTGCATTAAATGCAGTGACTTTGGGTTTGGTTACTGCAGTGTTGCAACACGCGGTATTCAATTGCAGAGATGACTATATTGCATATATAGAAGTTCACTTTACAGGTGTGAGACTTAAAAGGAACGGTATAGATATTGGCATAGAATCTATATTTACATCAGCGTCGCCAAGAGTGTGACACTGCAACTTGCAACGCTATTTTCGGTCAAATGAGCACAGCAATCATTGTTGACAAGGCAGCCAACACGTTAGTTATCTGACTAGATTCAATTATCGGATTTCATGGAGCAGTTGCAAGACATGACGAGAGATTGTTAGGTACAAGAGATAAGATGATTTGAACATTGTCTTGGAGAGAACGGCTCCAGTTTGCTCTCTTAGACTGGCGCTGTTTGGCAGGGGACCCAGAGGCCCAGCAGGCTAAGGGACGCCTGCACTGTATTCATCATCAACAACAAAGAAGATTTTATCTGGCCTTAATATTTACACACACAGGTTATATTATGAGCAGGACATATACTCACCTAGTTCACCTAGTTGTGCTTGCGGGGGTTGAGCTCTGGCTCTTTCGGCCCGCCTCTCAACTGTCAGTCAATCAACAGATTTTTTACACACACACACACACACACACACAGTATGCCCCCAGGCTCGTCCCGGAACTGAGAGGAATGAGCTACGAGGAAAGGCTAAAGGAGCTGAACCTCACATCCCTGGAAAACAGGAGAGTAAGGGGAGACATGATAACCACCTACAAAATTCTTAGGGGAATTGACAGGGTGGACAAAGACAAACTCTTCAGCACGGGTGGGACACCAACAAGGGGACACAGGTGGAAACTTAGTACCCAGATGAGTCACAGAGACGTTAGAAAGAATTTTTTCAGTGTCAGAGTAGTTAATAAAT